CCCTGTGACAGAACTCAAGCTCAGAGGGAGAAGACGGAAGCAAGGATTTGCTTTTAGATACCCTGGTATTTTCTTGATTAAGCCATCTTCTACTTTGTGACTTTTGAAATCCTGCTGCACAGGGAGAAATACAAATATCTGAAACAAACCCATCAATATGACATAAGCCCAAACCTCCAAGTCCTGGTTCTTGGCATCTCTTTTACTTCACCAAGAGGCACGAAGTTGGATTCTGGTCATTATAGTAAATAATTGTTGTTCTGGAAATATCCTGTTTCATGATTTGTTACGATTCAGCTGAACTCATCATTCGCTTCCACATCATCTTCAGAAGAATCTAGGTCAGAGATTCTCAACCTTCCTAATGCCATGACCCCTTAATACAGTTCCTCATGTTGTGGTGACCCCCCAACCATAAAATTATTTTCGTTGCTACTTCATAACTGTAATTTTGTTACTGTTACGAATTGTAATGTAAAAATATCTGTTATGCAGGATGTATTTTTATTCACTGGACCAAATTTGGCAACATATATCTGATATGCCCAAATTTAAATGCTGGCAGGATTGGGGGGGGGGGGGGGGGGGGGGGGGGGGGGGGAGAGGGGATTGAGTTTGTCATTTTGTAGTTGTAGTTGTTGGGATTTATAGTTCACCTAGAATCAAAGGGCATTCTGAACTCCACCAATAATGGAATGGAACCAAACTTAGCACACAGAACTCCCATGGCCAACAGAAAATACTGGAAGGCATTGACCTGGAGTTTTATAGTTGTAGGTCACCTACATCCAGGGAGCACTGTGGATTCAAACTATGATGGATCTGGATCAAACTTGTCATTAATGCTCAATATGCCCAAATGTGAACACTGGTGGAGTTTAAGGAAAATAGACCTTGATGTTTGGAAGTTGTAGTCGCTGGATTTATAGTTCACTTACAATCAAAGAGCATTCTGAACCCTACCAATGCTGTATTTGGGCCAAACTTCTCACACAGAACCCACATGACCAACAGAAAATACTGTTTTTTCTGATGGTCTTTGCTGATCCCTCTGACACCTCCTCATGGCTTCCCCCTCCCCCAGGGGTCCTGACCCCCAGGTTGAGAAATGCTGATCTAGGTAGAGTATCTGGGCTTGCCAAGTTGACTAATTTATGGTGACCCTATGAATGAGAGACCTCCATGTCACTGAACTTGTCACTGCTTTTCTATATTTGCCCTTCCTTGTTGGATTACTTCATGTAACTTACCTTCCATCCTTAAAATCATCCAGCTCTTTCCCATTAATGCCACTGTTAATTAAGCCTACTGCTTTATCATCCTTGAATTATGCTCTTGCCCTGGCTTGTCTCTTCCCTCACCAATTGCCAGTTTCAGCCCGGTACTTAATGAATTTTCCCTATACAAATACTGTAAGATATGGCCAGGAGCAAGTTTGATTGTATGGCAATAGATCGCTGAAAGTCATTACACAGCATCAGAATAATTTCTTAATCCCTAGAGATTTATAAAGGTAGTTTTCATATTCATTTTCTTCACAGGATTAACAGCTGTGAAGTGTTATATAGTAAATCTTCCTCTGAGATTAGATCCATTAAAACTTCTTTGTTTCCCTTGGCTTCAGATTAAGTTATGCTGCAAAAGTGTAGATAACATTTTGACAAAGCTAGATAAGGAATAAAAATCAGATTAAACCTGACTCCATCATTTCACTTTTGAATAACAAAATGCCCTTTCTCTGGGGATGTTGCCTTAGCTGGTGAGAAATCCAAACATTAAACAATCCAGTTATATTAACTTGTTTACTATCACCTTGTGCTGGCATTTCAGTCATTTCAGGAAGCACAAAGTCGGATCTTAATATTAGTCATCCCTCAACAGTATAATCTCATCTGAAACAGGTGAACTGGGCTCACCTTGACAAATCCCAGGTACAATTACAGCCAACTGTCTGTTAATGCACAATTCTGCACCTCCAAATGCTACATCTGAATAGGTGTATTTTAAATAATTTTTCCTCTGGTTGTTACTTAAGAAGGACAGGGACAAACAGTTCTATCCAAGTATTGGTATTTATTCAGCCGTTCATGTTGTTACTGAGGTATTAGCAAGGACCACTCACAAACATACACAATGAAGAATTGAACTCTTCTTCAGAATGAACGTTGAAATTATCAAGACTCAGTCTCCCATCTCCTCCAATGCTATATTCTGCACATTTTCTTTACATTTACGGAGATCTCATAATACACTCCACTTATAACATTGTCAAAACACATGTTCTTCATAGCATGACTTGCTGCCACCTGATGACTCCTAGTCCTCTCATTAATTACCACTCGTTCATAGCTAATTATGAAATTGTTAGCTGATCAGCTACTCCATTAAGTGGTGCCTTTTGCAGCAATCAGGAACTACATTGTAGTAGGCAGTGATTATCCAGTGTTATGATGGTCGATTTTACATTTACTATTGTTCAGCAAGCAATTATTAACATAATATCAACAGTGTTAATGACTGCCACATATACTCCTTGATAATTGTTGTTAGCTGTTGTGTGCCTTCAAGTTAATTCCAACTTATGGTGATTCTAAGATGAACTGATAACAAGGTCCTCTTGGCAGCATTTGTTCAGGTAGGTTGCCTTTGCCTTCCTCTGAGGCTGACAGAATGTAACTGGTCCGATGTAAGGACATAGAACCTCTATGAAAATGAACCTCTAATTTTTTTTACTGGAGGGAACACATCTCTATGGTCGAAGCACAGAAGCTGGCCACAGAATCACACTGGAAGATCTACAGATTCCTAAAGAAATGTTCTCTTCAGGAATTGCTAGGTCCTCCTCTGTGATCAATTTACAGCAGAAGCTGCCAAGAGGATCTAGGGATTCCTGAAAAAAAAAATCTAATCAATTCTATGAATAATCAAATTCACAAAACGTGGGGGAGCAACTTGGGAATCGCCAGACCAAAAATGCTGTTGAATTGCATCTCAGAACATTCCTCATCATTAGCGATGCTTGCTAGGATTCTTGAAATGAATGTCCAAGAACATGTAAAGAACTCCATTATTCTTATTCCTGGTTTAGAGCAATGGTGGAGAATGTTTGACCCTCCAAATAGTTTTTGAACTTCAACTCTCAGTAGCTTCACCCATGAGGACCAGAGATAAAGGGATTTTGAGAGTTCAAAGCCTCTGGAACAGTGGTTCTCAACCTGGGGTCTCCAGATGTTTTGGGCCTTCAACTCCCACAAATCCTAACACCTGGTAAACTGACTGGGATTTCTGGGAGTTGTGGGTCAAAAACATCAGGGGACCCTAGATTGAGAACCACTGCTCTGGAAGGACAAAGGATTCCCAAATGCAATATAATGTAGTTGTGCAAAAAACTTCACGGTGCACATTTTTTCATCTACGCCTTTTTGGGCTTTTTATGCTTATTGTCAAGTAACGAGCTTGTACATCCTATGGTTATTTTTGATTGCTGCTTCCCCCCCCCCCCCCCCAAATACTACACCGTCTTGAGCAATACCAATGAGGAATAACGGTGTTATTTGTTCAAGTTCTATGTCAGTTTTTACACATGCAAGGATTCTTGCAAGAGGAATGTTTTAAGTTCAATAACATAACAAGTCTGGCCTCACTTGTGCTGCCTGACAAATCCAACGCGTACAGCCCTCAAAATGCTATTGAGGACAATTTTGTAAGAATATTTCAGGAAGGATCTTAACTATGCAAGATGTTTCCATAGCAATCCCACCACTTCATTTTTGTATGAATGCAACAATCTTTGGATCACTTGTCAATCTTAACTTCCACTTATTGTGAGTTTTATCAGTTATTTCTGTTCAGACTGTAAAGTGTTTTGTGATACAGTGAGGGCTGTTGTATTAAAATAAATTGTACTGAATCTATGTTTTGACTGGTTTCTTTAAGCAGGAAAAATCAATTTAATGTAACATTGGGGAAACAAGCCATGTGGAGGATGTTCATAACCTGTGTAGCAAGATGCAATTAAAGATTTCCTTGTAAAGAATATGGGAGGAAATGGAAGTGTACAAAACTACCTGTGAAAGAAAGCCACTTTTAAGTTATTCACTTCAAAATGTAGGACACGGACAAATCCTGTTTTCATCAGTTACTTTGGTCTTCCTTCTGTGAATGGCTAACAATGGAAGTAGGTGTTACAAAGGAAATAAAGTGACTACTCGAAATTGTAAGCTTGCACGTCATTCTCAGTTGTTTTCGGTAATGTTGAACTATTTGCACATGAATGACCTTGAGGTGGGAGTTTTTTTGCCCTGTAGTCAACAGTCAATTAACAAAACAGAGACAATTAAAATCACAGTACCATTATGTATCATGGGTTGCCGAGAGTTTTCTAGGCTGTATGGCCATGTTCCAGAAGCATTCTCTCCTGATGTTTTGCTTGCATCTGTGGCAGGCATCCTCAGCGGGTGAGAGGTCTGTTGGAAACTAGGCAAGCGTAGTTTATATATCACTGTCCAGGGTGGGAGAAAGAACTCTTGACTGTTTGAGGCAGGTGTGATTGTTGCAATTGGTCACCTTGATTAGAATTGAATGGCTTTGCATTAACGGGCACTCCACAGATATATAAACCCCACTTGCCTAGTTTCCAACAGACCTCTCAAACTGAGGATGCCTGCCATAGAGGCAAGCAAAACGTCAGGAGAGAATGCTTCTGGAACATGGCCACACAGCCCAGAAAACTCTCAGCAACCCAGTGATTCCAGCCATGAAAGCTTTTGACAATGCATTATGTATCATGTGTTGTATATTCCAAGATGTTTCAGAAAAAAGGGGGATGAAAATGAATTAAGGCTACTATTTTCATTGGTAGCCCTATGGTTTGTAATGTCTCATTCCACCTTTAATATAAGCTAAAACTCAGAAAAGGTTTAATCACTTTAGACTGGGAGAACAAGATTTCTTTTCCAAATCACATCATTTAGAACTTATTAAAAATACAAATTCTGAAATTATGATGAATGGTTTAATGGCATTTTCAAATTGCAACAAAGACAAACACTGAACATTTAAAAAAACTCACAAACGATCATATCACCAGAATCTTAGTAAACAAACAAAAAAGTGGTTCTACATTGACATACAACTACAGGATTTTCTTCCACTGAGGAAGCTGGTTCTCAAAGACTTAGGCATCAAAATAAGATTCTTCAGATTTAGAAATAGTTACAGATTGTTTTCATCTGCAAAAATGATGTGCACTGTTTGAAGAACTTATGTACACAGAGAAAGAGACAGACAGACACATGTCTTTGTGATTTACCCAGTGATACAGCCATCTTTTGCAAAACCAAGTCTCAATACTGAAAATATGCAACAGACACTTTCCTTCCATGTGAAATGCAGGACATAATTAGATCAGTATTTGCACAGCAGTAGTTCGAACCCCTGTTCATTTTGACATGGAAATGAGAAAAAGTGAAGGGTGTTAACTGTTTTCACCACTACCATTCACCTATTGAAATGGGCACTTGTTGCCTTGATGCAACATTTTAGATATTGCAGTAATTTAGTAACAAGTTTGCTTTTTTAATATAAGCTATGGCCTACTGCTAAAGTCAGGATGGGCCTCTGGATATATCTTTGCTCTGAAAGACTCGTCCTTTAATAATACAAAGCGCAGAAACAGTGAATCGATCCCATATTCCTATTATTTCCCATGCATTTAAAAAGCTAGACCCAAAGCACATGACCTTTTTATGCCCCAGTGAGACAAGGGGCGTGCAAGCTTTTCCCTAAAAGTGTGTGTGTGCGTGTCTAAAATGTCCAAATCGTTTACTACTCTCATGCTGGACATGAATTGGGCTAAAATGTGTCCAGCTCCTTTAGCTATGGAACACAGATAAAAGTAGTGTTTTAGAGAGAGAACTATGCATGTGTGCTATGGTGCTCAAATTTACTCTTTTTTTACTATTCAAACAAAAGCATAAAACGATGAACTGGCATAGCTACTTGTCTAACTATATTTGTTTATCCTCCAGTCACTCTATGACGATAGTAACATAGAAGTACATGCCATAAAATGCAATACAACAATCTACAAATCTTGGAGCTGAAATAAATCGTGGGTCCTTTTTCCAGATACTAGTGGGGATTCTTTGTGGAGAAGAACAACTCCTCTGGTGGATTTTAATTAATTTGAAAACCATCAGTGCATCATCAGTATATGTCTAATAAACACCCAGAGCATTGATCTCCACTTTAAATTCTACATAGCCACTTTAGCTTTGGGATCATCCAACCACTTGTCCCTAATAGATCAGGCTACTCTTAATATTATATGCTTCTTACAATAACTCTTCTGGGTTCCCCATAAACTACCTCAATATTTATCATCGTTCCATGGATTAGGTTGCTTCTAGGATTCTACTTTTCTCATAAAGTAGGATTCTACTGTTTACTCTCTATATAGAAGGAAACAAGAGTCTATGAAATTCATGTTGGACACTGCTGTGGAAGACAATCTCAACTAAAAAACGGCCAAAAAAATAACAAGAAAATGTAATGCAAGGTTTTAATGGAAATTCATTTGGAAATATTTGTAACCAATCTACACTTCCACTTTGATTAACTCCAACCCTGAGATATGGACAGGCAGTTTTAAAAAGCAGATTCTGCCTTCAACTGAAAATAAAACATCTATAGAGAAACTGTAAACACAGCCTCCATGCCTTCTCTTTTCCCAAAACTGCCTGCCAAGAAACATCCTTACAAATCAGACACCAAGCACAATGCAAGAGGAATAAAACTCATCTAGAGCTGTCCTGAATTAAATTTAAGGGAAACCTAGAAATGATGGAAACAGGGATTTCTGCCCATGTTCAAAATGCCTTATTGTGTAAGTCTTAGGCTTGACTCGATTCAACCTTGAAATTTGGTATGATTGTCTTCTACTCTTTGAGGCAGCACATCAGAATGAGACTCAAAGTGCCTTGTTAAGGTCAAACAGCAAGATTCAAAGTAGCCCCACATTCATTTTTGAGGTAGCTCTCTCAGTAACAATGGCCAGAATCCAGAAAAGTATGTCAGGCATGACCAAGGTCTTGGGCATACCTGATTAGATTTTTGAGGAAACATTTGTTCTAAACAGTGGTCCACTACGCCATATTATGTACTGCTTTTGAAATATAAAAGTAGCTTGCCATGGGATGGGATGTGATGTGTGTGGAGCACACAATATGCTTGTTAGGATATTGACCTTTGAAATTTTTTGGCTCAAAATGTAACTATGATGGGAAAGCTCCCACCAAATTTGAAATATGTTTTTCACAGATGTACTTAAAAAAATTATTCTCTCACTAAAAAAAAAAATACTTCACAAAAACGTAGTGATGTCAATCCTTCTTAGATACAACTCTCACATTCTTTAGGAAATGTCATCAGATACTTGTGGTTTATAACAGCTGCTATAAACTAAAGTGCTTATTAAGAACTTATTCAGATTGCCGTGATTGCAACATTTCATCGTTTGCCGAGATTTCAAAACATAGAGCAGTAGCTCAAACCAAATGAGAGGTAAGAATGATCCAATTAGTTCTTGAGATGTAAAGGGATATTTGAACTTGGCAACCCAGCATTCTAAGCCCAATGCGAAAACATTACTTTTCCATCCTCTTGTCTAACCATTAATCTAATTCCAGTAACTAGACTAAGTTTGGTGTTGAAATTAATACTACATTGGAGTCAAGTCAGACTTCCTACAAACACAAGTAAATCTCCACCATACTTCTCAATGAAATTCACCCTTCATCTTGAAAGTTTAGCCCTATACTCTCTTTAACAACAAGGCAGATATGTAAAATGATAGGGTAAAGGCAGACTATATATTCTTCACAATAAGTACACAGAATTCACATTTAAGTCAGACATAATGCCCTACTCTTCATCTAGGCTGAATAACTTATGAACACTCATATGCTCCATAGGAAAGCCAAACATCCTTCTAGTCACCAGTAGATGCCAAGATATAAAAGTTCATACATAAGAACCTAACTTCTTTGAAAAGGTCACATGTTTCCTGTATATTTCATGCAACTGTGCACAACGTGGTAACAACTTTTGCAATACATCCCCTTTCAAGGAGCACCTTTTACAATGACAGCAGACTATGTTACAGGAAAGTCTGCACAGAAGTCTATGGCAACAAAACTGAAAAGGGAGGGAAAATACTTCCAACATCTCATTTTTCCTGAAGCAAGGCAGGGATGTTGATGTTCCAGCCAATAGCCTGGCGATCGAATCCACAAGTGAATAGATTACATAGCGGGTGGTCTTCACTCCAAGCTGAACAACAGACCATTCTTCTGTGGCCCTGTAACAACACAATGGGAAGGATCTGAATAGCTAACTATGCAAAAGGGAAGGTCATCCTTAAAGTACCCCAGGCTTAAGCCAGTCGAGGCTTTGAAGACTAGGGCCTTCAATGGACTGGAATCCAATGCAATTATTTTAAACAGGCATTCAACATATGCCAGGGATAAAGAAGAAAGAAATACACCTACATTTTGTACATAACTGTGAAAAGGGATGGGAAGCATGCATATTTCTAACAAACAGAATTAAAACTGCTAGTACCTGTCTGTTGCTGCGAGGGAGCCGTGCTAATCGCACTCCAGACATGTCAAATAATCTAACCTGCCGGTTGTCGTGTGGAAGTGCAATGATTCTTTGACCGACACAAACATTAATCCTGCACAGAAGAGATTTTTAGAAATAGGTTAGGGAGTCTGATACACAGGAATTGACAGTTGTTCAAACACAGTGAATGTGGTTTGCCCAAGATCTATGTTGTACATATTTCCCATCATTGAATACAATGTGTTTTTTTTAAAAAAAAACCTAGAAAAATGAAATCCACAATATGGTAAACACATTGTGAACATCACCACTAGGTGCACTAATGCAGTCCCTTTTGCAAGAAAGGGCCATGGGAGATTATAGCTGGGCACCCAAGAACTCTCCTACATCTCTCTCCCAGAGGATCAGGGAAGCCTCTAGAGGGATAGGTAATGCAGTCTAAGGGGCTACAATCAAAGTAAAAGAAATTAGCAGCCATATGCTCAGTTTGCATTAAGTGCCTTTAAATGCACACAGGGGAGTCTTTATATAGGCCCTTAAAAAGAGCAGTTACATAAACATCTAGTAACTCATGACGACTCGGGAATGTGCTTGTGCAAATTCACAGAGAAACTCTAATCGGCAAGTGGTAAATAAATAAATAAATCCAAAGAAATCCTGAAGTTTAACCAGCCTTACTGGTTTTCACTCTAAAGCACCACAGCTCGTATTTTTCTCAGACGGGCAATGCTTGAGAACCACAAATAGGCTCCAATCTAAATTCCATCTATTTCTCGTCAGTAATTTGTAATTACTTTGCACACAAAACCCTGCCTTCAACTATTTTGTTTCAGAAAAAATTAAGAGGATTGGGTACCATCTTTATGACATACCAGTACAGTTGGGAAACAAAGCAGAGCCTATTATTTGAGGGATCCCAATATATCTAATTTTATTTGCTGAGATTTTATACACAGAGAAACAGTCTCAAAAACATGGAATTCATCTAGCCTCAGCAGAACATTTTATGAACTGGAAGTCAATAAGGAAGACAGGCTCCCCAAAGTTTAGGATCTAATTATCATGAATCATTTCTGAATGTGAATAGACCCCCCCCCCACACACACACACACACACATTACAATTATGTCTTAGTACAGGGGTCCTCAAACTAAGGCCCAGGGGCCAGATGCGGCCCTCTAAGGTCATTTACCCGGCCCTCGCTCAGGGTCAACATAAGTCTGAAATGACTTGAAAGCACACAACAACAATGACAACAATCCTATCTCATGAGCCAAAAACAGGCCCATACTTCCCATTGAGATACTAATAAGTTTATATTTGTTAAATTGTTCTTCATTTTAATTATTGTATTGTTTTAAAGTGATTTTTGCACTACAAATGACAGTTTGAGGAACTGTGACCTGGCCATCTGTTTAAAAAGTTTGTGGACCCCTGTCTTAGTATCTCTACCATTTAATCAAATGAGCTGCTCTGGCTTACCTGTTTACTGCAGAATCTGTGCGAATAGTGGCAATTGGTGACCTCATATTCTTCAAGTCCCAGACTTTCACAGTACGGTCATCACTACCGGAAACAACATTGTCTCCCACAGTGAAGACGGCCGAAGTCACAGTGCTTAAAAGGAGAAAAGGAACAGTTACCACTGATATCTAGACTATTCTTCCACTTTGTAAAATATTACTTTAAAGTAAACTAATTTAAATAAAATTATTTTAAAATTATAATAATGAAATTATATACATGAAAAGCAAATTATTTCTGACAGTGCTGCATGAAGCAATCAACTCTTTATAACATAGTTTGTGCATAATTTTCACACATACTAAATAATGCAGTCCACCTTTCTTGTATGCTCATGAATATAACACAGAGAGATAATTTAGCTGGTTTTAGCACAGTAGGTTAATCACCAGCTGCAGCTGTGGTTAATCTTGCCAACCGAAAGGTTGACAGTTCGAAGCCAGGTCAGGGTGAGCTCCTGACCTTCAGCCCAGCTCCCCCGCGGATCACCTAGTAGATGAATAGGAACTGCATTAAGTGGGGTGGCATTTTAGGCATGGCATTTCACAGGAAAGTTTACAATCAAAGAAAGCTCTTCGGCAAGGAGATGGAGTGACAGCACCCCACTGTGTCCGGAACCGAGCAGCCTCCAAAAGATGCAAAATGGTGAAAAAAGCGTAAATATACCTCTATCTGTTGTATGTCCTGTCATTGTATAATCTGCATTGAATGTTTGCTGTATGTGTGTTCTGTCTTGAGTCCCCTTCGGGGTGAGAAGGGCAAAATATAAGTACTGTAAATAAATAAATAAATAATGCCACATGCTGGTGTAATGTAACTATTGGAGTGTTGCAATTGGCATGGGAGAAGCTAAGAAAGCCATACTGCAAGTCTCTAAGCAGCTCAGGAGTTTTCTCTCACACAGAAATGGCTTTAGCCACCATCACTAGTCCTTGCCTGGTGGCCATGTTACCTCTGTCTATGCCAGTGTAATTAAACTGGTCAACAAGATTGTGGTCAGTAGCTCAAACTTTGTTTGAAGAACGATATTTCACCCATTAAAGGAGAATAGGTGATAAGTCTTCAATAATATTGGTAACTCACTACAAGAAATAAAGTTTTTGTTTCTGAAAATGCTTCTCTTACTTGAATTACCATGTACAAATGAAGGATCAGCAGACTTAACCCCAATACCCAGAAATAAGTTAAATGTTACATCCACAGAGACAAAGAATGGTGGGGGCTTTTTTCTTTATTCTAGTCCACAAAGCCTTTAGCTTCTTTCCACCTTTGGAGTATGCTAACAAAGCACTTCTTTCCTTCCCTTGGCTCATTACAGTGTGCTTCCCAGCTCAATTTCTATGGATTGCATTTAATGACCTATCCTGCATAGCTTGGGGTCACACACATCAATTGCTCAGAATTTAGTAATTTTAATTTAAGGTGTCAAGTTGCTCCTGTCACTTCTATTGTACTGTGAGAATTTGATTTCATGTCCTATTCAGCCTACTGATTGAGATTAGTATTACCCCAAGTCACAATGGACTAGTATGTGCAAGCCCTCTTAATGTAAATTGACATCAAGTTAAAGTCTAATTAGATCCAAACAGCATTGTGTCACTGGTATGAAGTTTTTAAAGCTGCATCAAAGTGCCACTGAGCTGGTCAGAGTAATTATGTGGCTCAAACTAAAGGTCTTCACTTGAGCCTTCTGAGCCCAAGACTCAATTACATATGCCCATGCACCTGAGTGACAGCAGGGGCACAGGCAATTAAGAATGGCCACTTGATCCTTGGAAGATCTCCAAAATCACACACATTCACAGCCAGAAGAACACAGAGCATCTCAAATTATATGCTTCAGATATGGGAATACTACTGCAAGGAGAAGATTTTGCTGTTCCACAACATAGGAGCAAACATTGATTATTTCATCATGCATTTAAGTTGTTCATCTAGTTGACTAGATATAAAAAGTTGTATTTTCAAGCTATTGTTCAAAGCGCCAACTTTTGAACTTATTCAAGAACTTTAACACTTTTCATTTGCTTAAAATTGTACCACAACCTATATCCCAAAGGTATACCAAGAGTCACATGTTAGAAGGCATTTTAAGACAGAAAATGCAATGAATTAACTCTTCAATAGTCGTACCCTTCTACGTATTATCTTAAAAACCATGCTCCTGCACTGCTGATGCAAATTTCTCACACTAACGAAATAAAATATATAAAATTGACTTCTGATGGTTCATCTGTGTGCTCCAAGTGCCTAAAGTCTCTTTGTTTCCTACATATTCTACAGATTGTCCTTTTTAGCAGATATGCCAAAGATGAACCCAAAGCCACGTAAAATGAGTATTTATTTTCTTACTACTACTTATACCTCACCTTTTTTCTCCATAAGACTAAAAAATGACCATTAAGATCTCTCCCTGCATGTTAGATGCCCTTGTCTATTCCCAGCTCCATTACCTATTTTTCCTTTTAAATTGATTGCATATAAGAAAACTAATAAATACTATTTAAAAATTTAAAAATCCATGTCAATAGGATTTACTGTGCAAATTTGCTAATTTCACTCTGTCCAGGCAGTCTTCAAGTTACAAACTAGATAGGTTCTGTAGGTTTGTTCTAAAGCTGAATATATATGTAAGTCAGGTACATTTTTAAATGTAACTATAATAAGAATAATAACTTCATTTTTTTACCCCGCCTCCATCTCCCCAAAGGGACTCAGGGCGGCTTACATAGAGACAAGCCCAATCAACATAGTTAAAATATAACAAATTAAAATAAATAAACTATAGCATAAAACAGAACAAAACCAACATTATAATAAAATATAAAAACAAACATCAACAATCAATGAATCTCCAATAATAATCTGTTTCTGGGCACAGGTGGGCAGAATGGTGCAAATCAATTGTAAGGCTAGGTCTGATGGATGAAGTGCATAAGTCAATTGGCAACAGCAATAATAGAGGGCAATGTGAGATACAGCAATGTGATATAACTCCAGCCATACACACACACACATACATGGGCCGCCTGGTGGCACAGCAGGTTAAACCACTGAGCTGCTGAACTTGCTTACCAAAAGGTTGGCGGTTTGAATCCGGGGAGTGGGGTGAGCTCCCACTGTTAGGCCCAGCTTCTGCCAACATAGCAGTTTGAAAACATGCCGATGTAAGTACTGCTTCTGCGGAAAGGTAACGGCACTCCATACAGTCATGCTGGCCATATGACCTAGGAGGTGTCTACGGCCAAGGCCGGCTCTTTGGCCTAGAAATGGAGATGAGCACCATCCCCTAGAGTAGGGCACAACTAGACTTAATGTCAAGGGGAATCCTTTACCTTTACCTTTATTTTTATACATTTTGAAAAATTTGGCTTGTTGTGGAAACAAGGATTGATGCTAAGGGTTCAATGGAGACAACTTTTCCACACGATAACTCTTTCAGGAGTGAATTTATTTTCTGAGAGATAGGTTTCTCTCACTTCCTGTTGTCTCACCCCCGTTCTTAACTGATGCTTATAACTCGGGGACTGCCTGTACTTTACTTCTTCTAAAAAATTACTTTGTTTCATACTGTTTATTGTCGAATTAAATCCTTGTAAGCTATTTCCTTCATTTTATAACAAAAATACAAGTACACATTTGTAAATGTTAAAATCAGCTTTGAGAATGTGACAGGGTAGAAAAAATTTGCACTGGAGTAGAAGGGAGGGGGGCACATTGCCAAGCAGCAGAAATAGTAAACATAGTGATACAATATAAAAATAGCATTTCCCACAGTGCAGACACTGCCAAGATCCACAAAAAAAGAAGGAACACAAAAAGAGACAATGCTAAGGAAACTATTTCACTATTCCAGAAAAGGTTTAAAAAAGTAACGGAGAAGACAGTAATAAACCTCTTCATACCACAGGGAAAAGAAAGAGACATGGGGTAGTTCAAAAGGAAACTATTCAAAGGAAAATTACTCATTAATGCCCCAAACAAGAACAATAACAAGATAATAAAATCAGCTGAACTTGCAAAAGAGCAATGTAGCATTCAAACTGCATAACCTTAGGGTTTCTGCAAAGACAGACAAAACATTTTTGTCTTTTCAAGACATCAGATCCTATCATATCTTAGAAGCTAAACAGGTTCAAATCTGATTAGTACTCGTATGGAAGACCTCCAAAGAACACCAGATGCTGTAAGTTATATTTCAGAGGAACGGAATAGCAAGCAACCTTGTCCTGTGGAATTCAAGGGATGTCATGTCAACATATGACTCGAAGGCACACATATACACTTTCCCCTATGGACAGAGTGGGACTGTTTGCATTGTATTACAAAATTATTGCACATTGAGTTTGGGGGAAAACCTTGCAGAGGAACAGGGTCAACATCTGGTCCAATTCTAGACTAAAGCTAAAAACAAAAACAAATAGCCAAACGTTTGGGTCTTGGATCAATCCATACAAAATCAGAAAATAGAGAGCAGTCAGAGCAGAAATACAGGTAACCACACAACTGTATACTATATTCCTATTTAAACATTAATAATTATGTCTAACCTTATATCTAGGCATACACAAATAGTATATGCCCTGCAGCACTCTGCTGGTTGTGAGGCATATAGAGTAGCAGCAGTTGTGGCAGGATCATGAAGGATCTCTCCAGCTTCATGTCACAATGTGTCTGACAATCAGGTGAGAACTGTACTTGTTACACCAAACTGTCCAATCTGCAATGCCTCAGAAACCCATCAGTAGGGACACTGCCTGGTTTAAGAAGCAGCCTTTTTGTAGGCATGGTGGTGTCAAGGGTACCTCCAATGATAGACCTTCACAATCTAGTTTGCATGGGCAAACTAAGGCCCAGGGGCCAGATGCAGCCCCCTAGGTGCTTACCTCAGGCCTTCCTCTTTTCCCTGTCCTCTTGGCAGAAGGACACAGCGGCCCATCATGTCCTTATTCCAAAAAGATGGGGGAGGAAGGCACATAAGAGCTGAGAACCCTCCAAAACGCTCTCATCCTCCATGTGTCTCACCCTCCTCTCAGCATAAGGACAGTGCAAGCAGCCTAATCCTTATGCCAGGAGGATGGCTTGAGGAAGGCATGCAGCGGCTGAGAGCCCCTCAGAGCACTCTCAGCCGCCTCGTGTCTTGTTCTTCTCCTGGCGTAATGCCAACAGGACTGCCCAAGGATTGAGGGAAGAGGATCAGAACAGTTGCCATGTGTCCTGCCTTCTTCCCAGCATAAGGGTGGGGTGAGCAGTTTAGTCCTTATGCTGGGAGGACAATCTGAGGATGACCCGGGCCCTGCCCTGCCCTCTCCTGGCCCCGTCCTACCCGGGTCTTCCCAGATGGGCCCGCAATGCAGACCCAAGGCAAAAACAGTTTGTTCTTGCCTGATCTAGCTAAATCTGTTGATGGATGTTCCTGGCCAACATTTCTATTCTACTCATACAGACACTGGACAATGTCCATGAAAAGGACACTTATTGTCCAGTCTCCATTGTGTTTCCTTGCTGGTCAATGACCGAAATAAATGATTTGATTTGATTTGGAGACAGAGTAGTAAAATTCATTGCCTCTCCACCAGTCCTCCTATGCTCTGTGTGCACTTCGGCAATTGTATCTATATATAAAAAACAGTTCCACAAAGTTCTGAAATTTTTACACACACTTTTAACTTGTACTAGTGTCCAAGTGAGCAAGATGCATCCCTTCAATTGGGGGAATTCCTTTTTGATATGAAATATAATGTAACTTTCAATCTATCTAATCTGTAGTTTGATGATATTGGATTATAGCATTGCTGCTATAACAAGCAAAACCACGAGACCAACATTTTAACTTACAAATTAAATTGAGGCTTGAGTTCAATCTTAATGGAAAATATGGGGTTAAGCAGAACATTTGGTTAATGTAGTAGCTTCTTACACAGAGGCTTAATGACAAAACAGATACTGCCCAAAGCTCGAATTGTGCTGAACCTGGAACGTTTAAATAAGAAACTTGGAAAGAAGATAAACATTTCCCCCACTTTTCTGTCATTTGATGCCAGGGTCTCTAGCAACTGTGGCCAGCTTAAAACTGTGGTTAATATCCTTTTGGCTAAATTAATGAAAACTGTCAACAAAAGATCATTAGACACAGTGTTAACGGAATGCTAAAAGACATTAGCTTTTAATAACTCAGAATGGATGACAGGTATCTTTGGACATTAAAAATATATATTGGCAAAGAGACAGTACTCCTATGACACCCTTAAACTGTGGGTCCCCCACAAGGAGTCTGGTGTGCTACTACCATTCTGTAGAAAAACTTCAGGCTCTGCCAAGGCCCTGCAAAACTCATTTATCTTGTCGTAGCGAGCAGCCGAGCATGTACTTCCAGCTGACAGAGTGGCACTTTCTCACCACACACCACTGCCTGATCTGGAACATTCTGCTCCCTCCGTGGGTCTCAATCAACAGAAATACTGTAATGCTAGCACTCCTCATTAGGACTAACAGCTGTCTCCCCAGTCACACAGAGACACAAAACTGTTTTGCATAACAATCTGCTGAAATTTCACACTCATGGGGGAAAAAATATGATGCAGAAAATGCTGGACCATGAAATGCTGATGCGGTGTGCTGCTTGGAGCGGCTTCAAAAAAAATTAACACTGCAGTGCCCATTTACTCACATGGCATGATATTGCAGGGAGAGTTGTGTACGGGCGGGGACAGAAGGACAAATTCAAAACATTTTGGAAAAAGGTGTGGTTATTATTGAAACTGTAATATAAGTTTTAATTTGAATGCTGCTTTGAGAGCCCCTTTCAGGCTGAAATGCGACTCATAAATGTTATAAACAAATCTGTCTCATTTTGAGGAGAAAGGCAGGCTATAAATCTAATAATAAAAATAAAACATATGCTTCTTACTGAACCCTAGAATGTAGAGCAGTGGTTCCCAACCTTTTATTGATCAGGGACCACTTTGACCAGGGACCACTCTGACCAGGGACCACTCTCCAACATTAGTACCAAAAGAGTTAAGAAACGGTTTTTGGTCAACTAGATTCTGTTTGGTTATTTGGGGTGCTGATTTAGAAAATTGCATTGGGCAGACCACATCAGCTCTAGTTTCTGATACAGAACATATGCCATCCAGTAGTCACTATCTGCTTGCCCACAGAAAACCATATTGAATAAGCCTCAGCGCTATAAGAGGATTTTGTAAGACCAGTCTCTTGTTGCAATGGTGTAGTAATAATGGTGAGGCCACGGACCATATTTTACTTCTTGCAGACCACTGGTGGTCCATGGACCCCAGGTTGGGAACCACTGATGTAGACGGAAATATGTCCCATTTAGACTTTAGTTCAAGTAAATAAATATAACTTCTCTTAAAACAAATCACTGCATGATGTCATCCTTGCTGATAAAATAGGGAATGGCAGATAAAATGTCTTCCGAGAAGTATTTTAAGCAACAGTTAAAAATGTAGAAAGAGCCAAGGCTCTCAAAGCCTCATTCTCTTTACTGCGCTACTATATCATAAAGAGCAAGCAACTGTCCAGTGAATGAACTCAGACATCAACTCTGCTAAAATAAAAAACACTCTCTCCACAAAGCAGCCAAACTAAAATCCCCAACTCATCCCAAATAGAATCTAGTAAGACAAGATGGTGTTACTATTTTCAAACAAAAAACTTATTTCAAAGCATATCTATATGTAAATGCCCCAATATTCAGAGACTGGCTGCTTGTATATATAAATGCAGCATATAATTTAAGGAAAGTTATTTCTGCAATAATAGCAACTTTCCTTAAATTATATGCTGCATTTAATTTTAAATAAATCTTTCTCTCAGACAAGTCAATCAATCTCAAAGAGTTGCAATCTTACTTATGTGCACCAAAAAGTTAATGGAATGGCCACTGAAGTAAATATTCAAGATCAAGGCCAAAATTTTGAACTTTTCTACAAGCTTCTGCACTTGAAATTAATGTGAAAATCTTGCTGCCTCTTTTATAACAAAACTCATGTCCACAGCAACCAAGCTCTGATCCTTTAGTGAAGAACATTTAGTCCTTCCTTGGGATATTTCTTCAAACATATATTTTAGGGTTTGGGAACAGAGATTTGGACGACACCGGAGTTTGGTTTAATCTAGCAAAAATCCTTATGTTCTCACACATAACTGAACTTACTTAATCTGGATTTTAAAGACTTTGATTTATTGGAAGTTTGATAGCATATTATAGACTTTGATAGCATATTAAAATCTGCTACCATCACCTTCTTGCATCAATAAGCACTATGTCATGAAAGCACATATTTTACAGCTGTGCTAATTCCTCCTTCCTCCTTTTTTTTAGAGTGTCCTGTTTTAAGCCAAGACACTGCAAACATTTAGTGAAACATATTCATACTGCACAACCATTTCAACACATCTTATACTAATGTGTTTTATAGTCTCACTGGCTAAGTTTGTCATTTTTGTATGGAATCCCTATGTAAAAAGACAGTATATTTTCAGGTCGAAACACAGAATTAAGGTGCCATCTGGTGGAAGCTGTTATTATATGCATCTAATTTTTAAAGAAAATCAGCTGCAAAAACATGGCATTAAGAAGTTAAGATGGTCTATCGTTAAACAACCATTTTCCCTTACCTTCCCTATATTTCAGAACTAAGAGTGAAACACAGTTTCACAGGTGATAAAAAGTGGCTTATTATTTGAAACATAAACATATTTTATTACTAAAAATGCAAACAGATATTAAAATGCTCACAAAATCATTTAAATGGCCCCCAAAGAAATGTAAAAGGAAAAACAACTAGCACACCAACAGTGTTTTTACACTGATTTGGGGCTTTGAAATTATGGTCAGGTGAAGTTTCTGCTACATACATATGTAACAAATATGCCTTAGAACTTTTAGGCAAATCTGTTAAGTTCAATAGTCTTTTGACAGAAGACTATTAAGAGTCTTCTGTAAAAAAAGATCTAACCATACCTCCAAGAACATCATTCACTGAATAAAAAAATTAGGAGAAACCAAGGAAAACAGGAACCTTGCATCTTGTTTCATGCTTTACATTCTGGGTTGTTTGTGGTTTAGAACCATTTGTCAACCATTTGTTCATCTAAACACAGTAATGCTCAACCTAAAAAATTCAGAAATCCCTGCACAAGTCTGAAGCATTTTCAATAGCCTCTATGTCATCTTAAAGACTAAAAAGTATTTTATAGTACTATACAAGGTTTTGCCAATTAGAAATGACTATACTTTAACTTTCTTTTATCTGGCAATGACTAAAGTTTTACTTTGGGGTGGCAATGTAGAAAAGAAATTCCTGAGAAATACAAACAACCGCTATTAAAAAAATCCATATGTCAGCATCTTTAGCACAATTATGCCAACACAGTTCCCCCTTGAAGTCCTAGAAAATATTTTTCACTTACTCTGTATGGCCCTGAAAGACATTCACAGAATGGATAGAAGGATCTCTGAAATCCCAAAGACGGAAGGTTGTGTCGCGTGATGAGGTCACCACAAGACGCTGGGTGGGATGCGTGCAACAATGTGTAAGTTCTTGATCATGCCCTACAACCACAGATGAAAACATTAAGGCACTGAGAATGCAAGACATTTTATTTCCACAAACACTGGGAATGAAAAACATCAGAGACAGAATAATTATGTTTTGATGACAACCAAAATGACCCCAGGAAAGAAGGACCCATTTCAAATGCATCAGTATTTCCTCCCAGAGCCACTTGTGTATTATAATACCTATCCCAGACTATTTGCTAGTATTTCCAGTAAAGTACAGGCTATTCCATTCAACTTTTTTATCATGTCAGAAATGATTTGAGAACATACTGCAAGTCGCTTCTGGTGTGAAAGAATTTGCCGTCTACAGAGACATTGTCCAGGGGACGCCCGGGTGTGTTACCATCCTGCTGGGAGGCTTCTCTCATGCCCCTGCAAGTTAGAGCTGACAGATGAGAGCTCACCCTGAACCAGCAACCTTTGGGTCAGCAACCCAACCTTCAGGTGAGCAGTTTGCATCACCGCGGCTCTTCCATTCAACTGAAAACATGTATTTTAAAAATGGATATAGCTAACTCTCCACCCAACCTGTTGGTGGATTCAAATTTCCCTACAAAAATTTCCTTGAGAATGAAAAAGATACTAATTCAGCTACAACCTACAATGTTGCAAAGTTTTGTGCAGCAGCATACAAAATCCTTCAGGAAATGACTGGTCCCAAAAGTTAACTGTGTATCCAGTAATGATCTTCCTTGATTCTATAATTTGCTGATAGACCTGTGCATTGTATTTTTTTTATCCTATTTCCCCTTCCTCTCCCTCACCCTTATTGTGCTTCAGTATTTATATTTATATTTTAAATGTACTAAAAGTACCAAGTTCATATGAAACTGTGACTTTTATTTCCTGTGCTGGTCTATGACCAAAATATATGATTTGATTTGAAAGTGCTTATTGTATTTTTTAAAGTTGCATATTATTTGATGTCACGGCCTATGGCTGGTACAATAAACAATTCATTGTACTATACTATAGCAAATGGAAATCCTTTTACAGCCTATGAAAAGTTAATATGCACTAAGCTTCTGCAGTAAGTATATAAAAATACCTAATAATCAAATCGGAACACTTCCATAGACTATGTGTGTAAGCTTTGTTTTGTTTGTCAACAAAAGACATTACATTAAACGTTATACAGGTATTTATTCTTGGCCCTTCATATTTGCAGGTTTGAAATGATTATTCACAAATTTGATTAAATTGTTCTCTCTAGGAATCTCTAGGTCCTCCATTGAGATCTTGTGGATTCTAGGGATTCCTTAAGGAATGTCCTCTAAGTCAAACAAAAACAGCAATGTTTAAATATGCATTTCTTCACTTTCATGGGTATCTTTTCCCTCTAATCCCAGCAAATGTTTTATCTTTTGTAAGCTGCCCTAAGTCCCACGGCTGGGGAAAGGGCAAGAGATTTTAAGACAAAGACAAAGTTTCCATTTAAAGAGATACCTGTCAGAGAGTGCACAAGTTCAGATGTCTCCACATCATATAAATTTGCCGTCCTGTCCCATGAAGCTGTCACAGCCTGCTTTCCTCCGACCAGCCAATCTGCTGCAATGACGACTCCTTGATGGCTTTTCAGTGAGGTTAAAGAAGTCCGGATAGTGGGGCAATCTCCACAACCATCTCCATCTCCATCTGGTTCATCTTTATCAGAGAATTCAACTTCATCTTCTCCAGACATTTGCTGTTAATTTTGAATATATATTATATGTTAAATATACCATGTGGCTTTCAGCTGTTGGGCACTGATAAGACATTTTTTTCCTGCAAACACAGAGGTTTCTGTTGCCTGGATCCTAATGTGAATGTAGTTTCCATGCCAGACCGTTTGAGAAATAAAAACCTAATGTGGGACGCTATGAGAGATTGTAGAGATAATTGACAATGGAATGGAAATGGAAAGAAGGCACAGGGACAAAAGGTCAACATTCAGCAAATTTACAGGGAATGTCTATATTATATAAATTATAATATTATATTATATTAATGGGGAGGAGTAAATGAACTTAAAATATTCCTTCTTGAGGTTCTATGTTTAGATTGTAAATTGTCCTGAGCTTATAGAAGAAAACACAAAATTGATGTTTCTAACTAACATCTGAAGGTGGAAGGTTTACACTATTTTTTGAAATCAGGAGCAGTGATTTCAGCTATATGTCATGCCCTGAAGCTATGAAAGCAACTGGGGCTGTTCCATGGGGAACAGACTACACACGTGGCCCACTTTTTCATGATTTATTTCTTCAATCAATTTGAATTATACCCATTTTGGAGTGTGGTCTGTTTTTTCATCATGTGCACACAATGCTTTTATGGTCATGCTCTGCTCTTCTCCTCTCAATGGTGCCATCTTGTGGACAATGCTGTACATGGTAAAAGTTGTTCATGGTGTAGTGTAAAAAGGTAAAGGTAGTCCCCTGACATTAAGTCCAGTCATATCTGACTCTGGGGTGTGGTACTCATCTCCATTTCTAAGCCAAAGAGCCAGCGTTGTCCATAGACACCTCCAAGGTCATGTGGCCGGCATGACTGCATGGAGCGCCGTTAACTTCCCGCCGGAGCGGTACCTATTGATCTACTCACATTTGCATGTTTTCGAACTGCTAGGTTGGCAGAAGCTAGAGCTGACAGTGGAAGCTCACGCCGCTCCCCGGAATCGAACCTGCGACCTTTCGATCAACAAGCTCAGCAGCTCTGTGCTTTAACCCACTGCGCCACCGGGGGCTCCGGTGTAGTGTATGGTGTAGTGTAGTTCTTGCTTTATAAAGTACAAGCAGTCCCCAAGTTACAAACAAAACAGGGTCTGCAGGTTTGTTCTTAAGTTGAATTTGCATGTAAGTCAAAACAGGTACATTTTAAAATGTAACTCCAGATATGTATATGTATATTTGTATAGCACAGGGAAGGGTTAACACCCTTGTGGTATTTGTTGTGCTGTCTCTGCCCCTGTTCAGAAGATTTAACCTCACTTTCTTTTCTCTGTGATAATTGGTTTAATAAATTTGGCTTGTCTTGGAAACAAAGACTGGTGATAGAGCTTCAGTAGAGACACCATTTCCCCATTATCACTCCTTGTGAAGTAAATTTCCCTTCTTAGGAATAGATTTTTCCCATTATTAACTATGAGTCCTTTGTAAGTCAGATTTTTGTAATTCGGAGGCTGCCTATACAGTGTTTGTGTTTAAAGCACGGTTTTGTGTTTATGATATAAACACAATAAAGTTTTGATTTGTGTATTCTATAGAATGTCCTAGATGATTATGTGGTTTAGCGATGTTGTAACCTGCCACGAGGAGGGGCAGGTAAGAAATAAATAAAGTTGTTGTTGTTGTTGTTGTTGTTATTTGAAACACAACAAGATGAGTCCACAGCAGACACTATGCTGGATTGGATCACACTTCGGACACTTCCCAAGTCTCTAGGACAATGTGATGTATCGGCGAATAATGCGCGCAGATCCCAGTAAGGTGGCCTTCTGCAGCTGGTAGATGGTAATTTTGTCAGCGCTGATTGTGTTTAAGTGCAGGCCAAGGTCTTTAGGCACTGCACCCAGTGTGCCGATCACCACTGGGATCACCTTTACTGGCTTGTGCCAGAGTCTTTGCAGTTCGATCTTTAAATCCTCATATTGTGTCAGCTTTTCCTGTTGTTTCTCTGCAATCCTGCTGTCACCTGGGATTGCGACACTGACAATCCATACTTTGTTTTTTAACACGATTGTGAGGTCAGGAGTATTGTGTTCCAAAACCATTATTACTATTACTACTACTACATGGGTTCCACATATCAACCATTTCCACTTTTTGACTGAGTGGAAGAATGGCTTCAGAGGCAACAAAATTGGTAGTTACAACTAGTCACACCATGCCCAGCACATGAAACAATATGAAAGGACAATTAGCAAAATGTGTATGTGTAACCATCAGTTTGCCCATTGATTTACAACAACCTCAATCATTTTTCATAGAATTTTCTTAGACAATAATAATAATAATAATTTTTATTTGTATCCTGCCACCATCTCCCAGAGAGATTTGGGGCGGCTCACAGAACACTCAAGGTGTGATATGCAAAATGCAAGTACAAAACAAAACATAAACAATCAACAATCAACAATACATCATAAATTCACAATACCTTCTGGTAAAAACAATAAAATACAGTAATTGCTGTAGATGTCAACAAATACAATGAGGTGGTTTTGCCAGTTACTTCCTCTGAAATATACCATACAGTAACTGGTATTCATTGATAGTATGAAAAAGGACTGGCCCTGTTTAACTTGCAAAACCAGATGGGATCTGGTGTTGTGTAACTAGAGTTTAAAACTACACAATAACAATGGTGACAAAGGATCGCTTGTCAACCAGGCCGACTACTACAGCAAAGGTACAGCATGGAAAAATATCTTCAGTACCCAAGACCTCTCTGGATTTTATCACTTACATTGCAGTCTGTGGTAGGTTGAGGTGTAGGCAACTGCACCATGTACCTCCAGATATGAGCTGTCTGGTCTCCTGAAGCTGAAAAACAAATACAAAAAAAATTAAAGAAAGACAAATTCAGAATACGTAATCCTTCAAATGAGAAACAAGCTCAAATGCTCTCTCCTACCAAATTCCCTCTCTTCTGAAATTCTTAAAACAAATTTTCCCAGTTTATCATGGTGTGCAAACAAACAAGAAATTAAATCACCCTTCTAATACAAGTATTTTAAGCCATGGCTTCAAGTTCAATTTACAATTCTGGTTTGGTGGTCTGCCATGTTAAATGACAGGCAAAATGCTGTCTGAGAAAACTGGGCAGATTGGGGGGGGGGGGGGGGAAGCACTCAGGTTTGTCCCAAATCCTTCAGATCATGTTTCTTGAGAATGTGGATGTGACATTTAAATACTAATCATTGTGTGCTTTTTATTTTTGAACAAACAATATTAACAGTCAATTACTTAATACCAGTACATTTTAGAATCTAGCCATTCATCAAAATAATGCAAACATTCCACTGCTTCTTACTTCTACTGTATTCTATCATCATCTCCTGTATTACAATCTAAGTTTTAAAGTAAGTACAAGTTCAGGAAAGCAACTGGCATCCTTAATCCATAGCTGGCATCCCTAATCTTCCCCAACCATAATAATTCTCAACCGTTTTCTCTCAACTAAAGATTATCATGTCATTCCTGACAGGGGCAGAGTATGATCTATAAATGCCAAAAGGACACAATTATCTCCAGGGAAGCAGACATTTTAATCTGGTGCTGCCTAAAAGAAAATGTTAAAAAATTAAAAGGCTACAGAATTTATTTTGGTATAAGCTTTTATGGGCTAATGAGCTGTAGTACATGAAAGCTTATAGTATAATAAAGCTGCAAGACTTTAAGGTGTACTTGCAATGAGACAGATTATCATGATTTCTTATAGCTATGATTGTTGGAATCCTATTTCTTTTGAAATAAAACATTAGCACTCTTTGAATCCATTGATAATGCAGTAACGAAAAATAATTTTGAAACAAAATGTAGCCAAATCAAAGCATAATCAAGTGAAGCGCCAAGTTTCAGGTTCAATCCCCTGCGTCATCAAGTAAGACAGAAACACCAGGGAACCTGCTGCTATTAAAAATAGCAAGCTAGACTGATCACTTAAAAGTGAATCGAAGCAGAGAAATGACAAATTATTTATTCATATACTTCATAACTAAACCGTGGAATTTGGTGCCCTGAAGTGTTGTGATGACCACAAATATAGATGGCTTTAAAGGCAGATTAGACTAAACCATGAACAATACTATCAATGGCCAGTACACTTCCTGGAGGTTCATTCTTTTGAAAACTAAGTAAAAGTTTCCCTTGACATTAAGTCTAGTCATGTCCCATTCTGGGGGCTGCTGCTCATCTCCATTTCTAAGCCGAAGAGCCGATGTTGTCCATAGACACCTCTAAGGTCATATGGCTCACATGGCTGGCGGTACTTATGGATCTACTCACATCTGTATGTTTTCAAACTGCTAGGTTGGCAGAAGCTGGGGCTAACAGCAGGAGCTCACCCCACTCCTTGGATTCGAACTGCTGACCTTTCAGTCAGGAAGTTCAGCAACTCAGCAGTTTAACCCGCTGTGCTGCCGGGGGGCTTTTAATACTAGTTGCTGAGAAATACAGACAAGCACTATCTTAATATCTTGCTTATGTACTTCACAGGGATATCTAGTCAATGTTGCAGGTAAAAGGATAAAGATTGGATAAGACTTTTGCCTGATCCAGCCAACCTCTTATGCTTTTCACAAACTGACAGTACAACTCAGTTCTCTATAGCCCTATATACTAATTTTTTTAACAAAGTTAAAAAAGCACTTAAAAATTACATATACAAAACTGACAAGCAAGGATATCTACCAAGTTTACTGTGAACATTCATTTGAACAAAATATTAACATACCTGTGAGAGCCACTTGCTCCGCTGGATGGAACTTAATGGAGTTTACTGTGTTGAGAACAAACATGTAAGAAAGTACAAGTATTAGGCTAGCAAAATTAAGGGGAAACCTCATCAAAGTTCATGTGAACTGAACTGGGCCCATATACCACCCCTAGACAATGAGTTTGCCTGATGCAGTAAGAAACAATTCACCAAATTACAGACACCAAATTACTACAATCCCATCTTATTTTAATTCACACTATAGATAGGAGTGAGGTAGGAAACTAGGATTCCCTGCATTCAGGCATATTCACCCATCAGGGGAGAACACTGAGTGTGCCAGTTCTTGGTAACTCTAGAGCTTCTGACATAAAGCATCCGATACTGTAATATCCCTAACTCAATCTGAAATGGTACAATCCAGAATTCTCTTGCTTCATCTTCCATGTTTTCAAAGGTTCTGACAAGCAATTAATTTTAGCACTACCACTGGTTTCTCAACAACATTATCAAGTTTGAAACTAGAAATCTATTTATTTCATTTTCTTATTCTCTGCCCAGGTATTCCATTTTGCAGGCAGAATTACATTACACTTGCTAATATGAATCAAACTGCTATAAAAACTGTTTTTCAACTTCAAAAGTGGATTCTAGTTTGGCTAGGGATTTGTCCCCTACATAAAATATTATCTTGCTCACAATATGAACTTATTCTTACCTGATCCAGCATGTCCAACGTATTTGACAAGGCATTTTCCTGTTTCTATGCTCCAAAGCAAAGCAGTGTGATCTGTAATAATTAAAACAGGGGAATATGCACATCATATTTAAAGTGATTACTGAGTTTCAATTTACATATTGTAATCCAGAGTTTTACAGCAAAACATACCATCACTACACCAAGATTAGTAATTATGAGCTTGTAAACTAAACCTGAAAATAAAAGGTGATGGAAACTGTACATGTAATTTTACATTTTAAAAACTGCCTCTTACTTTTCTGCCCTCGTGAGACAAAAGACTTCATCACTACATGGCCTAGTACAACTGACTGATTCATGCACATTTGGGTTCTCCGAGTTTCATGTCTGCTGAGTATCTGGACTGACTCCATTGAAAACCACCAATTCTGAGGAAATAAAACTTCTCTGTACTGTTTTTATCTGTGATAGCTCATTCATATATGCAAACCACAACCAAGTGGCAAGCTACTTTCTGACTTACAGGTAAAATCCAATGGTGCAAGAGCACATTTCTGCCTACACAGTAAGGTTTTTCCATATTGCCTTTATAGTTCCCACTACTCTCTCTACAAAAGATTTTGGGAGTAGAGAAAGATTGCCTCTCCTTCTTCTGCTGTGAGAAGCTGCTCAGTAGTATGACAAATTAAACTGAAATTTGCCTACCTACGAGTTTCTAATTTCTTTGATTCATGTCCTCCTGCCATTTTCTAATGGTCATTAGGTGGCAGTAAAGTATTTCAGATTCCTTTTTGAGCATGAGAGAAAGAAATTGGTAGCATATGCCTTCATAGACTTGAGTCTGCACAAACTTAAGTCTGTGAAAGCTTATGTTACCAACTCCTTCCTGTCTGTTAGTTTCAAAGGTGCTACAACATATCTTTGCAAACTGGTCTAAATTAACACAGCTATGTCTTTGAATTCTTCCTTTCAGTGACAGGGAGAAAAGAGGGTGCAAGGAATACAAGGAATACACATAAAGATTTCTTAAATTTAAATTCAGTACCTCCTCCATTTAAACATTTTTTCAACCTGTTTCAGCATATGTGGGTGCTTTACAAGCCAAATTATTAAGAAATTGTCCTATGAAAGCAGTGGAAAGAGCATACTTTAAGACTGAGCAATGTTTGTAATCATAATAATTCAGGGAGCTGCTTTATACTGAGACAGACCACAGACTACAATACTGTCATCTCTGGAAGCAACTCTCCAGGTCTAAAGACAAGACTGTCTCCTGACCCTGCCTGGAACTCCCAGGTGTTTTCCCATGCAAGTACTGACCAGGTTCAGCCCTGCTTAGCTTCTAGAAGCAGACAAGAAAGTGTGATTTTTAGTTGCTATGTGGACTAACCAAGATTAATGGACAAACCTGAAAAGCAAAACAACAAAAAAGGAAATGCAACAACAGCTATTTATGATTTCAGTTAGCTTTGTTATTTAATAGTAGATTCCTTCTTTTAAAAAGTATTAAATAATATAATTTTTCTCAAGCTGCAACTCAAAACAGTTAAAAGTGAACTCCTGTCGTTGTCTTGGCAGAGACTTATCAAGAAGAGCTATATGTATTTTAATATATATGGGGAGATAGCCAGATAAATATTTGAGCTTAACAGTTTGCCTAGCTGCCAGATGAGACACCAGTTCCCTCTTAGAGAAAGAAATGTATCTAAAATCAAAGAATTGTGAACTACGTTTTCAGAGCTGTGGGCTAAATCTTCCTTAGAGACACAAATAGAAAGAACTTGAAAACATCTTTCCTTTGGTAAAGAATGAGGAAAGAGGGTGGGCAAAAATGGGAATCGATTGACTGTTGATTGAACATACACTGTCTAGCATGATCCTTTCAAATAAACATCATGGGCAACTGTGAAGACATGATGCCATAACATTACCAGCAGATGCAGTCCCCAGAACTATTGGCTGAGTTTTCGTAACACTGACATCCCAAATCCCATCCCGATGGCCAATATACTCTTTCACCAGCTGGCAGATTGCTCTGGATGTTGTTGTTTTGAAACTGGATACAATCTAAGAAGAGCAAGAGGTAGATCTGAGATACAAGTATAAAGATACAATTGCTTATCACTACCCACCCTCCAGCCACTGCAATCCTGCTTAAATGCACAACATAAAAACTGTTGATACATTTAACTGTAGCCATCTATGGATGCATAAGCTCTGAGATGTTTTCTCCTAAAAATAACAAGACCAAATTTGGCCTATGTGAGGTCAGGGCATTCTATTGGGTGTGCCAAAGCAGCATTTGGCCCAATGTGGATATTTTAGGAGGTCTCAGATTCTCCCTTACCTATTTCCAATAAACAGGTGGGTATAATCTGAGGAGCGAATAGCGTTTATTTCTATCTAAAATGAATTGTATGCACCATACAAGTCTATTCGTCAAATACAGCTAGCCCTAAATGGCTAAAATGGGAAAGAAAAAAAATCCAAAGCCATGTGAAATGGCAAAATACCACAGCTAGCTCAAACAGCTGGAACAACAATCTGAAAGCAAAGGCCAGCTGCTTTTGCATGACAATGAAACATTCCTTTCAAAAAGTAATACACAGTATGAAGTAAAGGATAAGAAAAAATAAGAGAAAAGACTAATGAATGCTTATATTAATTACTTTACTTGCCTGCTCTGATTAGTGCCTTTGGGAGAAAAAATGGAGAAAACCTTTCCCAAATTGCAACTGCTGCTTAAAAAAATCTAAACAGAAAAAGGGAGGTAAGCAGTTCGTACTTTCCCGGAAGTGTGTTTTGAGATTATAGCTGGAGAAGCAGATAAAATAACTGAAGTTTTAGCAAGATCTAAAGCAACAATAACTTTCATAAATATTTGTTACAATGCAGTAAATTAAGCATTCTAAAGCTGAAGCTTGGCCTAATAAAGAAGAATATACTGTGCAATATAAACAATTGAATGTTGCTTTAATGACTAAAAATTCAGTTTCTGTAAATTTAAAATTGAATGTTTGAGGCATTTTGGATACCATAATGCCTTTTCAGAAAGAAACTGGCTGCTATAGCCACGTTTGCAATGTATTGATGATCATGCCTCTCTAAGCCATTTGATATGGTCATGCCATATGATGGCACGTTTTGGTTAGAAGTAGATTGATGCTATTTGATCTTACAAAATCTTTGATGTTTGTAGATCGCCATACATCACGAAACTACATTTTTATAAGGCAAAAAATAACAGAGGAATAGTAAAAGTGGATTGCTAGAGCCCCTACAGTTGCAAAGAGACACACTAAGTATAGTTAGATCAGCCTTTGCCATCACTCGCTCAACAGTCTCACTGTCCTTTCCACATTTTAATATGTATTTTTGGCCCTTCTGGTTGGACATTTTTTGAATATATGGATTGCATTTGTGAATATATATGCTTTGTTGATGATAGTTCGAGCTTTATAAATGAGACTTTGTTAATGTCACCATAAACTGGTTTTAGCCTGCCCCCCTTCTCTTTTGTGTAAAATAAAAAATTTAAAAAGATGTATGTCCTTGTTACAGGGTCCGCGGTAGCACAACGGGTTAAACCGTTGAGCAGTTGAACTTGTTGACTAGAAGGTTAGCGGTTCAAATCCACGGGAGGGGGTAAGCTCCCACTGTTAGCCCCAGCTCCTGCCAACCTAGCAATTCAAAAACATGGAAATGTGAGATCAATAGATCTCAACGGGAAAGTAAACGGCACTCCATGCTGTCATGCCAGCCACATGACCTAGGAGATGTCTACGGACAACACAGGCTCTTTGGCTTAGAAATGAAGATGAACAACACCAGAGCAGGAAATGAGCACCACCCCTAGAGCTGGAGATGAAGGGGAAGCCATTACCTTTATCTGTGTGTCTGTGTTTCATTGTTTTGAGGTACTGAACATTCACCTTCTGTCTGTATATGCTGGAATCCGCCCTGAATCCCCTTGGGGAGACAGGGCAGAAAACAAATAAAGTGTTGTTGTTGTTATCATTATTATGTAGAACCTGTGTTTCAAAACACAGAACTAAGTGTATCGATCTTGGGAAATTTGGATCACCAGAATAAAACAAAATCAAAGAATAAAAGAAAGTCAGGTGGCAAAATATTTGCTGTCTTGGGTCATGCCCTTCAAAAATGATGACAAAGGTTTTTTGTACACTGTGTGCCAGAATTTACTCTTAACGTTCAACCAATTTTTCTAAAATTATAGTAGTCGCTCAATGTCAACTTCTATGCTAATTCTGTGTTACCTCTACAAACATATAAAAATTCATTCAGTATAATTATGGTGATCACTTGTGGCTGTTTATGATTGTCAGAGGTAGAGTCTTGGCAAGGGATCAAAAAATGATCATGACAACCTATTCTGATGACCCATTCAGTATGAGAGCCATAATGGCACAGTGGTTGAGTATTGCACTATAACTCTGAAGGCCAGGGTTTGAACCCCTTCTTGGCTATCGAAACCCACAAGGTGAGCTTCAGCAAGTCACATTCTTTCAGCCTGAGAAAGCAGCAAAAATAGCTCCCTTCTGAACAAATCTTGGAAACAAAAGACTTACGGTTGCCATCAGTCAGAAATGATTTGAAGATACATAATAGCAATGGATACTGACTAAATATCCTGAAATCATAACTCTTATTAGTCCTGAGACTTCTGACAACATTTTCTGCTGAGTTTGGGTGACTAACATCAGGACTTTCGATGCCATCTTTTAAGGAATAGTTAATCAGGTTGGGAATCTGAGTTACCGCCAACAATAAAACTTGATGGTTCAAAACCTATGTGCATTGTTATGGTGGTGTTTCATATCACAAGGCACAACTGTTGGCCCTTGAGTGTACAGTAGCGTATCAACAAAAGGTTCTTTAAAAATAGAAAAAGCTTTTAAAAAGCCCAAATTCCTCAACATAATGCAATGATTTGTGCTGAGCAATGACTACTAATGCACGGACAGGTGCCAGACTCATTACTGATGTGAAATGAATAAAACATAGAAGCCCGACATGCAATAAATGAAGTATGGCAGACAATATTGCTAATTTCCAAGATCGGTGTTTTCAGGTGAGCTTCTAAGAGTTTTTGTTTAGTAGAAAATAAATATGAGATATGTTTGAAAGCTTGTGTTTTGTAGCAATATCGTCACTGAACTGGACCATAAGTATTTGTAGCTCCCCTCAGAATACAGAATTACATTCAGATTTGGTCAGAGAAGACTCGCCCAAATCACTGATAATTACATTTATCACAACTCACTTAAATTCTGTTGATTGTAATGACCTACTCTAAATGTAATTTCATCTAAAACCAAAACAGAGAGCTGATACTAAACCAATATTGCTGCAAATAATTCCACAACAGAAAATTCAAGCATTGTATCAATTGCAGCGCTAACTAAAAATGGCGCCATAAAAGAATTAAAAGGCTTGAAAGGAGAGTATGTCTATACTCATCTTTAATTAAGAAGACTCATTAAAAATTCTAGACATAATCTTAGAATTAGAAGCAGTTATATGAAGTGTTTTATAATCAGAGCCTAGTTAAACCAAAATCCTTGTTGCAACATGTATCGCCTCGTAACCAAACATAGAAAAAAAATTCAATTATAGCCAATTCTGTTATTACAAGCAAGGTCTGAAGAGTGCTCAATGAAAAAACAAAAAGAATAAAAGACAATGTATTCCATCAACATACAAAATTAAATTTCAGGGGAGAAAAGAATTTAAAGCCTAAAGGAAGCCTAACACAGTTTGGGGAGTGACAGTATTCCATTTTTTCCTCCTTGTTAATATTTACTACGATGAAATGAGACCTAAATGGAATCATAATTCAGTAGTTAATGATCAGAATTGTTTCAAAGCAAGTAGAAGCAATAATTTCTATGGATGCATTGAAAAGAAAACGGGTTAATTCTTGCAGAACTAGGTACAGATTAGTACTTCAACCACAGTGTGGAATTAATCATAGAAATTTCAAGGCAATATTACAATTCAGTTGTCAGATTTAATCAATGTCTTCAAACAAAATGGAGTTATGTATGAGAAGTGGAACTGCAGAATAAATTGGGAGCAACCTGCATATCTCTCAACTGTTAATAAGATGTAAGAAAGAGCCCTGGTAGGCTCTCTGGTTTACAACTCACCTCAAAGAGAAAAACAATTTATCATAGAATTTCACGTAATTTCCTAAGAAATTTGCACAACATATTTCTTTGAAGTGTTTAAATTCTAACAATCCAAATTCTCAATGGTGGAAGCTCACAGGGTGTCTCCTGTTGCAAAAAGTGACATAGACCTTAATTTTGCTTTCTATTTATTTTTACTAAGGAATCTCCTAGGACTACTATACAAACCAACTATAAATACAGAATTATTTAATTTTTTGTTCTTTTGCTAGGGAAAAAAGTACTTTTAAAAGTTGACTCAATCAAGAGAGGATATAAACAGAAATTTGACAACTGGGCAGAGTGACCAAACTGTGTCTCCAGTAAGTACCATCCAGTTACTCCACACTGGCTCATTCTCAACCATTTCTCTTCTCTCTGACCACTCAACATGTCTTTTAGCAGTCATTACTTCCTATTAGATAGGGGTTTTGATATTGTTATGTGCTACACACTGGTGACAATGGAAAATAATATGTATATATAGTACTGAAGAATTAGCCACAGATCACTGTACAGCTTCCTTTGAGGTGCAAGACAGTCGATTGCTAGACAGTCTTAGCACAGCAGCTGCTTTTCAAGTGGTAACGAGACTTGTAACCATGCAGATAGGCCATTAGAAGAAAGGGGAGACTTAATGACTGCTAATTTCACAAAGTCACTGAGACCTACATATGAAAGTAAATTTCCTGTGATAAGTTATTGTTTTTATGGTGAAGAGGACATCTGAAAAAATAGCTCTTGGATAGAAAGTCATATCTCGCTTAAACTTAGATTTCCTTACTTCTGATTTCCCACAAAGTTTCTCATCTAAAATGCTTCAGAAGAATACAGACTGACAAGGTTTTAAAACAAGGGCTAGTCTACTTCCTAATTCGTTTAAAGGGAGTCAACAATTACATCTGAGCAGACTGTAAATGAGATTAAAGTCTTATCTCATCATTGTCAATTGGGGTCTTCATCTAGCAAAATGATATACACTTTTCTCTAGGGTGGTTTTCGGAAAATGCAGAATACTTTTACCACAATGCAGATTACATCTTCAGTGTCACCTGATAAAACTGGTCTTCCTTTCACTTGTAAGAGAATAATATACATGTGTAGCTATGATTCTTCAGTTCCTGGAATTTAATAAGGACCACTGACTCCTCAACGTCCAACCTCAAGACTTATGAGAGTTCTGCATGCTACTGAAGCAAAGTTACAGTAGCATTTTGTGAGTACTGCAAGGAAGTCAGGGTAATATGTGCACTTTAAACATGATTACTTTCAAAACCTAATAAAAAAATTATTGTACTTAATTTAGAAATGCTTTCTTGTGTAACAACCTAGTTATAGGTACTGGAGCAGTTACCCTTTTCCTTCTTTTGCAGAAAAACATCTGAGACTTAAAATAGTATTAAGGCCATATAATAAGAAATTGGTCAGCTGATATAGTTTGTTTCAGTGCCTTGTAATGGGGAGAGAAGAATGTAATGTGGAAAATCTGGCAGTTTACTTAGATCCTGACTTGAATAACTATTAAGCAAAAGCAAAAGCAATAAGTATCTGAAAACTGAGTGACACAAGGTCCTCCAAGAGAGCACAGTTGACAGATATGATATCCACAGCATGAAGACTGCTTAAGATAAAATTCTGCACGTTCCATCACTCACTACTGTTTAGCTGGGCATGCATACTGGCACACTGGGAAGCAAAGCAGTTACCCAGGAGTCTCCACCCCATATTTCCCAGCTTCCCACGCTGAAGTTGCGAGGTCCACCTGATTTGCCTGGGAAAGAATTTGAGCGCTATGTAGCAAGTAAGAAGAGATAAATATTCAGCACTTGCTTTTAAAGAACAGCAATTTATAATACATACTTAACAGCAAATTTCTTTAATGACTATGTAGAAATGAACAACCTGCTGTTCACATTGAATAAATAAAGGATACATACAAAGTGGAGGGTGATATATTTCCTTCCCACAACATGAATATTCATAATGGAGACAACACACAAAGCAAAAAGATGACAATTTTTCAAACTAAAAATGAGCACTGCAAATAGAACCCACTAAATAATCTCAAATAATTCTTCAAAATATACATGTTGTCATTATACTTCATCTATTAATTTTTATGTGACCAAATTAACAGTAGGTCATTTATAGTACACAAAATGTACACTGCAGAAAATCAGATAAAAAATTACCTAAAGAAGGATATATTGTATATATGCATGCATGCATATATGTGTGTTATGTGGCTTGAAGTTATGTCTCACTTAACAGCAACCACATGAATTTCACAGTTTTATCTTGGACAAGGAATACTCAGATATGGTTTTTCCAGTTCCTTCCCCTGAAATATAGCCTACAGCACCTGATATTAGTTGGTGGTCTCCTACCCTGCTTAGTTTCCAAGATAAGATGGGATCTAATGGTTTTTAGTATTTAGACTTTTAAAGCAGATAATAACACGGCAATATGGTACACTGGGGACAGATTTTGAGTACTATTTAGAACATTTTCACAACTGACAATAGGCTCAATGATGTCCAAGTCCCACTGGGGGAGTAAGTACCTTCTACTTAAAATCTTAGCAGGAGCTCAGCATTGGGAGTCTGAGCAACAAACCTGTACAGTCCAGTCTGCTCCTACCATAAATCTTATATTTATTTGGTAGTGGATATCATATAGATAAGAGAGGCTCATTCTAGGCAATCTCATTTCCAATAGTCTCTTTGCATTAGACCATAAACAAATGCCAACTGCTCTAAGCTGTTTTTCAGAGAAAGGAACTGGCAAAACCACCTCTAAGCATTCCTTGCCTAAGAAAACCTTGTGAAATTCATAAACTGCCATAAGTCAATAGGTGAATCCGAGGCACATAAACTTACTACAAAGATTAATTCAAAATGCTAAGTTGACATGTGTACTTTTACAAAACAAAGGTTATTTCAGAGAGAAAGTCATTTTGTCCTTGATTTTCTGAAAACCTTTCAGAAAGCACATTTTTCAATCAATAATTAGGATAAACCTTTTTCTGTGGTTGATAACCAACTTGGATTTCATGTAATTAAGACTTGAAAGGACAGTATATGAACCTAGAAATCTACTGATTTCTGTTATTGTATGTTATTTTGTTGCTGCATTCATATGTGTTTTTTTTTCTTTTTTGTTAATGTAATTTGATGCTGTTGCTTGTTGCTTATGTTTTGGTTTTATTTTTGCTGTAATATGTTGTCTGGTCTTGGCCCATGTAAACCACTCCGAGTCTCCGTTGGGGAGATGGTGGCGGGGTATAAATAAAGTTTACTATTATTTTTTATTATTATTATTACTGATACCCTAGGAAGTTTAAATACTTTTTAAAAATTATGTGTATAGCTAACACACAATTTTTCGCACCTGAAAATCTGATTTACTTTACGAGCCAGTAAAAAATAAAATGAAGTACTTGACCTTCTCTCTTCAGGATGAGCACTACTTCCATATGACAATACTCTATAGATGGCATGTGACTAGTAAATTAGACTGCTTTGCAATGGGGTAGAGAAATAAATCATGTCCACGAACTATGAGGAATAGTAGGCAAAATGCATTTATCACGTCTTTCAATTTCTTTTAACTGAAGTACTCACAATTACAATCCTATCAGTAACCATATTAATTCTAGCTTTGTGTTCACATCTACAAAAGGAATCCTCTTACAAATCTCCTTTGCCACTCTATTTTCTGTCTGATTTTTCAAAATACTGTAAATTATCCAGAAGCACCACTTCTTATGGGCTACAGAAAAAACGAAACCAGATGCTCTGGTAGAATTCATTAAGCATTTCTACATATACACAGTGCTTAACGCCAAGCTGCCAATATGAGGTTGGTGGGTGGATGCTCTAGGTAAGGAAAAGTTTATTGCATATCATACCTTGCTAGTAGATGCCTTGTAAGTAGTCTTTAATTTCTGAGAGAGCTGACTGGTACTATGACTGGCTGTTGAGACAAATAAATTTAAAAGGAAATTTGTTTTTAAAAGGTTGTTTATCTGTTTTTCTGGAAGCTAGTATTAATACCCTTCCAACAGAATGCCATCTTAAGTTATAAAAGTCAACAATGAGAATTATATGATCAAATCTCTTACCTTTTGTTTTCAGTTGTCCCTTGCTTAATTCAGCTCCATCAATGGTTTGGCCTTCGGCTGCTAAGCGCTCATTAAGTGTATCAATCTCTCTACGTACTAGCAGTGGCATATAAAGTTCATGTTAATGCAAACAATAAACATTCAACCATAACTTTTAAATTAAACATCTCTGTTTATTTTTTAAAATATTATGTTAATGCAAACAACAAGCATTCAAACATTACTTTCTAGCTATTATATATTCCAAATTATTATATATTACACCCTGTATCGTCATGGGGAGATAGGGCAGGATATAAATAAAGTCTTTATTATTAATTTCAAAGGCCACAACTCTGCAGGCCAATTCTTCATTTCTCATGTGAAAAGGATGCTTATGGTTGTGTATTACTAATATAATACATATACTCAAGCCTTCTGAAAAATTTCGTACTGTACACTATCTCAACTTTGTTTTAAAATGAGTTTCTAAGAAGACACTTGGCTAAAGTAAATTAAAATTTAGGAAGGAGAGTGGTTCTCTCTTCTAAATCAGCAAGTCATTGCTCAATCAGAAGCCTGTTCATATGTGTAATCCCATTACAAATGGAAGGAGAAAAAGGTTTTTTGTTTTCTTAAGTTCAGATACTTGGTAAGGAAAACGTGGGTTAAGTCACAAGGGGAACAAATAAAAATTTCTTAGTTGGAAGATTAATAATGAGTCCCCTTGAGGAGATAGGGTAGAATAGAAATAATGATGATGATGATGATGATGATGATGATTATTATTATTATTATTACATGCATCATAGACCTGCTCATAAATTATGCTCTGTTTATTCTTGGAACTTGTGACAGAAGCAGGGCCACCAGTATATTATTCCTTGTCATTTATTTCTTGTTTCTACATTGTCTTCAAACCAACTAGTTTCTAATTAAAACAATAAAATATATCCCCTCATAATACAGGACTATGCAAAACATAGCTTGTAAGCTATATGTGTGTACAGACACATTCTTTTTGCAGATATTGCTACTGACAAAATTCAATAGCATGTGTTTACAACGACGACACATTTCCCTTAAAAACAAAGTGATAGAAAAATAAACTCACGTTCAAGGTTTTCAATGTAGAGATTCTCAAACTCTCTTTCTATTTGGCCAAAAAGTTCCAGAAGTGTATTTCTAACAGATGATGGGAGTTTTGAATCCTGGAGATGACAACATATTAAAATTATAGAAACGTTTAAAACATTTTATTGTTATTTTTTGGTACTATATCCAAAATTTACCATTAAACTATTTCAGAAAATATTATGAAATTATGTTTCACCACTTCAATGCAGAGATTTCATGTTCAAACATTCAACTCCAGACTGCATTTCCCGCTACAATTGTGTGTTTGGATTTTCAATTAAATCATATTTTTATCCATATTAGTTTATTACATTACTTTTTGCTCAGATTTGTCGCTTAGTAGATTATCACATCTACTGTTCTAATATCGCAGATGTAAAATCTAACACTGAAGAACACACAGAGGCAGACTTTTCCAAGGCATGTTTACCTGGCCTTCCAGCATTTCTCTCTGCAATCCTGATCGCTCTTGCTCAGAACTGTTTGTCCGTCGTATAGAAAGACTGTGAGATTTGCGTTTCTGCTTTGCTTGGCGAGCAATGGCACAGCTTCCACTTTCTGTGGGCATTACTTCAAAAAAATAACTTCCCAGAAGCTCCTAAGGTAAACTAAATAAAAAATTAATTATTGAAGCTTTTTAATAATATCAGTAATATAAACATTTAGTCTTATAGAAATCTTTAGGAATTCTATAGCTTCAATTACACCTTTCCAAAAATCTTTCCCAAAAAAAAAAGTATCTTCAAAGATTAAATGTGTAATTCCACTTTTTAGAAATTGCAGATAATGATTATTAACAACCTTATTTCTACAAATAATTACAACACATTTTCACTATTAAATACTGTGCAAAAAGTCGACCATAAAAAATCTCAATCTCCTCAAAGTCTACTATGCATTTTCAAGATGCACATCCACTGAACTGCAAACTACCGAGAATTCCAAATTGCTTTCGCCAAACTACCAAATACCTACTGTGGTTCAATGAAACACACGGAAACTAATAAATCTAACAAGGAATATAGGATATTTGATGGGCATTGTTAAGTAAATTGTATAGAATCAAGTATTTTCTGAGGCTTGCTTGCAGCATTTTGTATGTCTTAACATCTTGACTCTTATCAAGTCATTGTTAAATATTTCAAAATGTAATTCCCCTAAAACATGTTTCTGTAGTATCTGAGTCCAAACAGACTAACTAATTTGTGAACTATTTTGCTCCCTTTCAAAAAAAAAAAAAAATCAAGTTGTGCTTTACTTACAGAAGCATCTAAGAAATGTGCCACATCCACATCTTCTAAAAATGATTATGAGCCTACTAAGTGAGTAGCATTTTTCATTTTCTGTTCTCCCTTTCCCCATCAATTAGGGCTGCAACATTTAATCACTTAACCAATTAAATCTGCAGCAAATCAACATTTAGCCTGATTAAAAGCTGATTGCCATTCATCCAGCTGTAAATTTTATTAATATGTCTTGTTTTTAGTACAACTACTTTCAAAACCTACGGGAGGCAGACACCATCTTACATGAAGAATTCCTCCCCTCTTCAATAGGAAAATTGCCTCTTCCAAAATGGAGTCATACTTATATACATATGATCTAAAAATACAGAATATTCATATACATGAGCAATTTAGATCAAATATGTATCATAGTTAATGATTTGAAATTTCATTAATTATTAACAGGCCTAATTTTGACAGAAAAACTTATGTCTAATTTCATTATAAAACAGCCAATACTGTTTTGAGATCAAAGTTTAAACAGCATCCATTCATATTGACAGAAAGTAATGTTAATTCTCTGAAAATATAACAGAACAGTAATGAGGATCAAGACTATAATCTAGGAGAACAAAGAAGAAATCAGAAACAGTAAGCAAAGAATTATAAGTATGACTTAAAACTGTGATATTATCCCTAATCCTAAGAATTCTGTCAACAAACTAATGAACGAGGGATGAGCACGGTCACACTTAAAACTATCAGTCTGTATTTGAAAAACTCTTATGAAATGTAAAGCCAAAGATACAACATTTTCTAATTGCAGTATGGATAGGTTACATGAAATCAAAAGAACATTACAATTCCATCAATGGCTACCCTGCCTTTTGGTGTGTCTATGTGAGTAAAGGATATTTTAATGATGTAGCCTTTTTATCTATAGCTACCAACCAATCACTGTTTTCAGATGTAAGAAAATTATTAGCAGTAAAGTGGAATGTGTCCCCATGTGAAACATCACATTACATAAAGTCAATCTATAAATGTTAGTTCTGTCAGATTAAATTTAGATTATATATAGCACTTCTTTTTCAAATTCCATTACCACTATTAAACTTCTTCTATTTAATTCTTTCCAGACTTCTTCCAGAATGATCAGTGAAATACATTTTCCTCATGAAGCATTAACTGCGTCCACATAGAAATCAATCATTTCCAAACTTTGGTCAGCCATTTCCTATTTCACAAAGGGGATTTAATCCTATTACAGATTCTTTCAGTTCCTTCCAGTGAAGAAGTCAGAAGAAGACTAAGATTTGGAAGGGCAGCTATGAAGAAACTAGACAAGGTCCTCAAATGTAAAGCTATATCATTGGATAACAATAGTAGGGTGGCCTATGCCATCGCATTTCTAATATCTATGTATGGTTGTGAAAGCTGGACAGTGAAGAAAGCCGATAGGAAGAAAATCAATTCATATGAAATGTGGTCCTGAAGAATTCTATGGATGCTGTGGACTGCTAAAAAAAACAAAACAAATAAATGGATCCTAAAGAAATCAACCCTGAACTCTCTTGAGAAGCCATGGTAACAAAAGCAAGAATGTCATATCTTGGACACATCATGAGAAGACATAACTCACTTGAAAAGATAACAATGCTCGGTGAGGTAGAAGGCAGCAGGAAAAGAGGAAGACTGCATTACAGATGGATAGATTCAATCAAGAAAGGCATGGCCCTGAGTCTGCAAGACCTGAGCAGGCTGTGGGTGATAGGGGGACTTGGAGGTATCTTATTCACAGAGGTCTCTTATTCAAAATTGACTCGATGGCCATTGACAACAAAATAGGAGAAAGCAGAAAGTGATATACCCGTTTTGGAGAGTAGGGAACAACTGGATTATCATTTACTAATATTACTTACAAAGAACATAGAGAAATGAATTATATATAAACAATTAAGTACAATCTCTACCCAATGGGCTTCTAAATTTTAAACCAAAATTATAACGTCTATGAAACCAGTAAGAGGCAAAAGCAAAATATAACAAGACATTGTCAAACTCCCTCAAAGCATTATGATTTGAGAAATGTACATTATTGATTTATAAATTGCTAACAGCTTACTTAGTTGACATCACCATTTTGAGTTTCATTGCACTAATGTTCCAAGGAATATCTTCATGCAATAGCATGGTTGTAATATTCATGCATTATTCACAAAAACATGTCACATGCAAGCTCTCCCCCAGATCTCGCAAGAAGACAACCCTAACACTGAAGAGGCAGCAAGCAAGCACACACAGAGGAGAAAGGGAAAAGTAACAGGCAAGATCAATCCTCAAGTGCCAGCTGACATGTGATGTTTCTCCTAAACCGAGTAACTTGGTGTACAAGAAACATACACCACTGTATGCAGTAACAGACTGAATATTTTGGCACAGCTAAACTAGCAAGCCAGTGCAGGAAAAACATCATGAGTGAAGTAGCTATAAGTGTATTTCATGTTACTTTTAAACTGCAATCTTATAATTCTTTGGAAATAAGTCACACTGAACTCAGTGTAACCTCTGATTAGACAAGATTATACTGTAAATCTATCCACAAGCTACTTCACCAAAAATACAAACGAGCCTTATTCAGATCAGCTTTATAAACATCAAAATAAAACTATCATTATTTTTAAATGTTTGTAACAAATCACTTCTCCAAGCTGGAAAAGTGATTTGTGTCATTATCAGCTGCACACTTCACAAAAAACATCTGACATATTTGAAAACATGGTCTTAATTGAACAAGTCCTTGGCAATATGGTACTACTACGAGATAAGCAGCTGATAATGTCTATAAAGTTACCTAAATACACCCTAAAAAATTAGGTTTTCAGAACAATGGCAATTACCTGTCCAGTATATCAGTGTCATGTTAAATATCCTATGAAAACCACATTAAATATGGATTAGTGAAACAATACAAACATAAATTTAAAAGACTTTAAATGTAAAAGTTAATTATATTTAAAGCATGCAAAACTACTAATGCATCCAAATTCTTGCCATTAAGCAAAGTAAAGGCAACATCACCAATTAATTACTGAAAAATTAGAAAATACAGTTCAAATGATTTAGCAGTTTACCTTTAGTATGATCTGAATCTTGCTGATTCATGCTCTTGGGGTAGCATATCTACAGAGTAGAAAGCCCTTACAGCACCATCATAAATCTTTTCAATTAAAAATGCATCCCATTTATTTCAATGGGCTTTATAGTCAAACTATGACAACAATTTCAGTGGAATTATTATAGGCTAAATTTCAATCAACTATTTAGTGTGTTCACTTCCTACCATTTTTTTCCTTTATAGACTAAACACTTCAGACATGCAAATAAAAGTGTGATGTAGTTATTTGAGTGTTGGACTATGACCCTGGAGACCAGATTCAATTCTCCACTCCGTCATGGGAACTCACCGCATAATCTTGGGTGAATCACATTTTCTCAGCCTCAGAAAAATGCCATGAGTTGTCATAAGTCAGAAAACAACTTTCAGGCACACAACAACAACAAACTGGCAATTAAGTCCATTAGTTTACTATCTGATATGACAAAAAGGGTATTTTTCAAAGTTAAAACTGCAATTTTATTTTGCTTCCTCGTATTCTCCTTTCACCCTCCAAAAAAACAGTGCTGCACTGGCAGTAACAACAATGCCAGTTGCAAATAATCCTATTCTGACATGCACAAATATAGTATGCACAATGATCAAGAAAGCCCACACCAGGAAAATGACTTGGCTTAACTTATTTACATACTAGCAAATCTTTCCACACAAGAGAAAAAATTATACACAATAGCAAAAGTCTAGCAATGATGTTGAGTTCTCTGTAATAAATCATCTTTTATAACATGAGTTGATACTGAACTGTGCTTGATTGTGTGATATTCAATTATCAAGATGAGTTGTATAATGAAAGAAAAAAATCCTTTGAGTACATGTGATTATGAAAGCCAAGGATTGTGGTTCAGGAAGTGTCAGAATGTGGAAAGAATTACTAAAACTATGTGCTTCCTTTTTGTTGTTGTTCATTTAAACTGGCTAAAAGATTGGAGAAATGGAAGGGAGGTAGCAGGACAAGCATAAACAACATCCTTTTATATTTTAGTGTCCAACATCCTGTTTAATTCTCAATTCAAATTCTAAGCTGATCTGTAATCAAGGGATACTTTCAGAAAACAATAGGAATAAAAGGAATGCAACAGACCTAGGTATTCCAGTGGTAACTACCAAAAGAAGTGACTACCTAACCTTTATTTTTGACTGATATAAACAACAAAGAAGTGTGTTTTTCAAAGCTATATAAGTCAGCAGCAGGGGGTGGGGGTGCTGTATCACCTTCAGAACTTAACTCATTTATATACTGTCTATACATTCATGTATAATTCTGGAATTTTAGTCAAAATAAGTAACCATCCCCTTCTCTGGGAAGAGTGGCAAAACGTGTAAGCTTAGCCCATCCAGGAGAACTTAACAGAAGAACAATCCCATCTACTCTCACCATCACAATACTGCTTCTGACTGTTTTGAATGCCAGAATGGGAAAATGGCAGTAGGTGCTTTTCCTCTTTGTGGAATGACCCTCAACTTATCCATGGATCACATCAAAATCCATAATTTTGATCCCCAAAATTTCTTTCAACTTATAAAGTTTACTTTTGCACTGGTATTTACAGGTTCTTAATTACGAGTGAAACAGGCAGTAAACTATTATAACATAGTACATTTTCCGAAACTTATTCCTTGGAAACAGAAGTTCCCAAAAGTTTCAGAGTCTGCATAGTAAAATAATCACACTGGACAGCTATTCCTAAACAACTGCTGAGTTTTCATCAGGACAAGACAAGCCACAGTATAGGCCAGGTATCCTCAAACTGTGGCCCTCCAGCTGTTTGGGCCTTCAACTCACAGAATTCCTGGCAATTGAACAAGCTCATTAGGGCTTCTGCGAGTTGGAGGCCCAAACAGCTAAAGGGCCGCAGTTTGAGGATGCCTGGTATAGGCAGCCCCCAAGCTAAAACATCCAACTTACAAACAACTTACAGTTAAGAATGAGGGTAAGGCAACAAGAAGTGAGAGAAATATACCCCTAAGAAAAGAAATTCACCCCTGAAAGAGTTATTATCATGGAGAAAAGGTATCACTTTCTCACCAATCCTTGTTTCCCCAACAAGCCATTTTTTAAAAAAATCCAATTATCACAGGGACAGAAAGTGAAGTGCAATCTTCTGAACAGGGGGCCAGACAGCAAGAGAAGCACCACAAGAGTGTTAACCTTTTCCTATGCTATCCAAAGCTACAAAATACATATTTTGGTTGGAATTACACTTTAAATATGTACCAACTTAATTTAACTTAAGAACAAACCTACCTTGTTCGTAACCTGGGGACTGCTTGTACTTTACAGATTTATTCTAAACTGGCATTGATGTCAGACCAGTAATCCATGAAAAATCAGTGTGAACTCAATAAGATGTCCAGAAATCGTTTTTTGACATGCAGGGCATCCTCAGTCAATACAATGTGGAAAGGCCAGTCCAAGAGTAAAATGAATTTCTTCTGAAAACTGAAGGCGTAAAGTACTATAAAATTCCAAAAATGTCAGTGCTGCTGAAGAAAAATACTACGTACAGGTAAATATTTTACAACACAGTGGTAGCAGAATCATATTGTGCCTTTGATTAGATTACGTTTAAAACACTCCAATCTTAAGCCCAATTATGGCTCAACCTATAAAGTTAATGTGTTGACTATACCTCTTTATACAGTAGATGGCATATAAAACAATGCTTTTGTTGTTGTTGTGTACCTTCAAGTTGTTATAGCAGGCATGGGCAAACTTTGGCGCTCCAGGTATTTTGGACTTCAACTCCCACAATTCCAAATGGCCAGTAGGCTGTTAGGAATTGTGGGAATTGAAGTCCAAAACACCTGGTCTAAGTTTGCCCATGCCTGTATTATAGTGATCCTAAAGTAAACCTATCATGGGTTTTTCTTAACGATTTGTTCAAAGCTGGTCTGCTGAGGATTCGAGAATGTGCTCTTTTACCTAGATTATTGCAAGAAAGAACCTTCTGAACAAAGACCTTCTATATCAGGCATGGACAAACCTCGGCCCTCCGAGTGTTTTGGACTTCAACTCCCACAATTTCTAGCCTGCTGACTGTTAGGAATTATGGAAGTTGAAGTCCAAAACACCTGGCGGGCCAAAGTTTGACCATGCCTGTTCTATATGCCCTTACTACTTGCACCTTTTTCTCCCTCTGAAACCAGCGCTCCTTCATCTGGATTGGATGTTTCTGCACAATGACTGACCATACTGACTAATGTTTGTACTACAAAAAACACCAAGTGGGTCACAATTGCTCAGCCCTAGCCTAGACAGCAGTTTCATCAATCTTCAAGCTACTTGCTCCCATTGATATTTTATTCATGTTATGTTAGGTCTTATTTGTACCTAAGCAAAATGACAGCACATATATTTCAAACAGCAGTATATCTATTTATCCTCAACCTTTGTTATTTCTTTTTTTCCCTGCATATACTTTATAATTTAGACTATTAGGGTAGGGACCTCTTAGACTCAAGTACAGATGAGGTAAAAGAGAGAAAGAGCTAACTGTATGTGTAAACTGATGAGCAAGACACAAATCACACACTGTTAATAAATCACTGCCATTGTGTATGAAAATAGTGTCACATTTGTGTTACAAGGAAGACCTGAACTCAAACCTCGTAGCATATTGAAGCTTACTTGCATCGTATACTTCGGTATTGTGGAGATAATCAAAGCTCCTGTATATCAAGAAGTCTCTGCATCATGACTCAGGAACAAACATTGGCCAGGAAGCAACATGTATGCTAAACGTAAAAAGGAAATGCTTAATGTCTAAATATAATTTATATCGTGAGAGCAAATCTAACCATTAACATTGCCAATCACACTCCAGGGAAGTTAATTGCTCTACTCTTCATGTACATCAAAGATCTTCCTCCTTTTCCTGGTGATAGGTTCCCAAGGGACAACCTACTAGGCCTTTGGGAATGTGCCTAAATAGAAAGTATTAAGAACAAAACTGAAGGTCAACACCATAGCCAAGGGGGGCAAAAAGGATGACTCAGACTTATAGTCAAGAATAATACTCTGGGATAGTAGCCAGAAATTCAGCTAGCATAGCTAAAGACACAGCAGATGGAGGTAGAATACATAGGGAAGAAAACAAGCAGCAAAAAAAAAAAAAAAATCTGATATACCCTGGTTTTTAAAAATGCTAAGACAGGAAAGGAAGCATGTTGAAATAGGGCAGAATGTGGAAACAATGCTAGATGCACAGCAGCTGATTTCCGGAATAAATGATTAAATCATTATTCATCCAGTACAGACTATTTGTACCTATATGCACAAGGGATTATGACATAAAGAATTTGAGTTCCACTATCCTCAATGAGGCTAAAATTCTTCCTATAACAACTCCTTCTTATTCCTTATTTCTTTATCTTTATTTTTGTCCAGTTCAAGTAAAGGAGATGACTACAAGTGTTAGTAAACAATCTACCAAAAAAAATTGGTGGGATTACTTGCAGAATTTCAGAATGTGGAACACACAAAAAGAAAAGATTCTGTCACCACCAAATATTCATGTTTGCTGAGGGGCATACATACCCATTTAGTAATGGAACTGTTTATATATTTGTTTATATATATATACATATATATATATATATACATTCTTTATGACTTCCCATTATGCTTTTTAAAAATACTATATTATTGTTCTTCAGGTCTATAGTACATTCACGTTTCTCTCTTTTCTGGCTTTGCCTATCAATATCTTTTAAAAATACAAATGTGTTATTTCATTTATTTTGTAAATTAAAAGCTTTGAAACATTTAATATTTTGCTAATGTAAAATAAACTCTGAAAAGAATAACTCTCATGAAGAAGCATTTCAACTTTTTTTCTCCAAGGAAGAATGTATGAATATTAATTAGACCCTATACTGTATATATGTTCAGACCAATAGTCTTATCTAGTGTCAGTCTACACGAGTGAAGGAAAACATATGACTCTGCAAACGCAATTAAGTTACACTTCTCATCAGTAGATAAGGTGAATTAGAGTTGATCCAGAAACATCTACTGGACCTTCTCTACCCTGTCAGCAGCCCTGAAGTATTTCAAAATTTCCTAGTCTTTTCCAGACACAGGGGTGGAAGTTGGGGTATTTTGAATACAGTATCAAGAATATGTTTCATCATTGAGTTGTATCTGCTCCTATACAAATCTATATCACTGAACAATTGATAAAACAAATATCCAATAATCTTTTTTTCTTTGCAAAGGAAATTTTTATGTTTAGGGAGAGCAGCTCATTAAAACACCACGGTCTTTCTCGAACAAACTGGCTGTGCTCCCAAAACTAATTATTCGGGATGTCTCACTGCTTCATTAAAAAATACACCTCGGAGCAACACCTATGTATTCAAATGGCAACATTCACATTTGGAATATTTTGAACAAAACATGAAACTGTCTTATTAAGACTATGTCCTCCTCTCAGAGTTTAAAAATATAAATAAAATACCAATACTTTTGTCAACATGGGACTTATCTACATACACACACCCCTCACACTGAAATGTTTAAGAACATACAGGATTGCTAGGTGTCTAATTATAAGAGATGTCCCCTATTTGCAGGTTTGAACTCCCCTCCCCCACTTTACATAGACAAAACAAGAAATTTGTATTGGAATATGGACTCCTCAAAAAAAAGCAAAGTATGAGGTATATCTCCAGCTATTTGGGCCTCCAATTCCTGGAATTCCTCACTACTGAACAAGCTGGCTACGGCTTCTAGGAGTTGGAGGTTAAAACATCTGGAGTCACAGACTGGAGATACCTGTGTACACACGCACACAATCATGCCTCCACATTTGCAGTTTAACTATGCACAGATTTGTTCCCTCTGGGAATCTCTCGGATCTCCAACCTCAACTTCCTCCAGTCATGTTTGAGGACCTAGATATTTCTAGAGAGAATTCCTTGAAAGGTGTTTGCTCAGCTAATAAAAATAGCAATATCTCTATTTGTGGTTTTCCACTTTCAGAGGAGATCCAATGACAGCTAAATGAGCTGTTGGAATTTAAAACGTGATTTAATACCCATCTCTTCTGGCAGACCTTCCCAGTCAACTTTCAATCATGAGTTTTGATGTGCATTCTATTGCTACTGCATATCAATTCTGTATCTGTATTTGGTGTAAGTTTCGTATATTTTTGTGTTTTTATCTATGTAATCTACTGTGTATACATATGGTATGTGTGTGTTTTTAACTTTGTTGTACCCTGCCTCTAGCCATCAGGAGTGACAAATAAAGTGTATTATTATTATTATTACTGTCCTTTCCCACTAAACCCAGGGAATGTGGAGGGCTGACACACTCTCTCTCTCTCTCTCTCTGATTAAAAAGTAAAGCAACAGCACTTCTCTAGGTTGATCCAGGATCCCAGAAGTATGCAATTAATCTCACTTCATATTTGTGTGGTACATATGTATGTGTATCCTCCAACATGACTGGAGGAAGTTGTTTAGAGTGTCACACAGGAGAAGTTACAGATTCCTAGTGGTAGTAAATCTGTGAAAAATCAAATCCACAAAAGTTAAAACCACAAATGTAGAGGGATATATGTGTATCACTGTGTGTGTATTACTGTATATATGTGTGTGTGTACATACACACTTATATATGTGTGTGTATATATCATATTCGCAGACATATACACGCTTGGGGAAACATCCTAGATAGACAGACAGACACACACACACACACATATTTATTTATTTACGGCATTTATATGCCGCCCTTCTCACCCCGAAGGGGACTCAGAGCGGCTTATAATATATATTTTCATACAATGTATTATATTAACATAGTACAATATCAGTATTACATATCACTATATTGCACTATACAATTATATTGTAATATTATTAGTAATATTACCTGCACTGTAAATATATAATTATGATTATAATATTGTATTATTATTACTAGTATTATATTATTATAAATATTATATGTATATACAGTATACTATATTATTAGTAAAGACAAGAAAGAAATGTCTTCTGCTCCCCTCTGTCTTTGCTTTGGCCAGAGCAGCAGTTGGTGCCACTGGGGGGAGGGGCCCCCCCTAACATAACGGTGTGTACATTGCACAGTCTTAGCACCTGTATATCAACTCACAGCTTTTCCTCACACACCTTAACAACCCACTGCCTTGTAATGGTTACCCATTTCTCTCTCCTCACGGTCATTTTTAAGTGTAACTCCACCCCCCTCCCTTTCTCTCTCTCTCTATAGGTTTGGATAGCATAGGAAAGGAAAACTCTCAGCATTATGTCCTCAAAATGCACTTTACTACAGCACTATTTTTTAATTTTAATCTATCACATTTGGCCCGGCCTTTGGTTTTAAATGTTTATATGTTACTGTTGATTGCTTTTGTCTATTTTGTTCATGTGATTATGATTTATATTGCATTGTTTTGTTTATTGATGTTTTATTTTATGGATGTTCTGTTTATTGATTTACTGCGGGCTTGGCCTCATGTAAGCTGCACCGAGTCCCTTGGGGAGATGGTAGCGGGGTACAAATAAAGTGTTACGTTATTATTATTAACACCCCAATGGTGTTACACCCCAATGGGGCTACAAAGTTGAATCCACGACATGCGAGTGTGGAGAAGAGCAAACCACAGACCACCTGCTGCAAT